TTTGAAAATAAATTTTTACAGATCCTACTTTAGTAGCTTTTAACATTTTACCGTCTGGCAGTTTAACATTAACAGGATTTTTTAAATCTATAGAGTTACAAAAATATGTATCGTTATTTATTATTATATGATCAGTACACCCACTATCTAAAAGCCAATTAATTACACAATCATTGTTACAGTCCTCTTTTTCAATAGATCCACATACCTGATTTATTTCTGGGTTACATACTTGAGCTATCCATGACTCTGACGAAAAATTGTTTGAAGATTCACCGCTGGACCGATTTTGACCTCTGAATTGATTTTGACCTCTGCCTTGATGACCGCTGTTGAATCTACCTCGTTGAATTCCTCGCTGACCTCTAACACTGTGTTGTCCTTGATAATTTTTCTGATGACCATACCAGCAGTCCTTCTTTAGATGTCCAGGCTTCCCACATACAAAACACTGAGCTGTAGTTTTTGTTGCAAATGTACTTACATTATTCTTGATTGAGTTACTACTAGTCATATTTTTTTCTTTTATTTTACTGCATACATATTCTACTGTTCTTTGTTCTTCAGGAATAACATCTAGAAAATCTCCAATATAACTGTAGCTAGGTGGAAGCGCTCTCAGCATGTATCTCAATTTTTCTGATTCCTCCAATTTTCCTCCGGCCAACTTGAACTCATTTACTTATTTTTCAAATTCGACAAAAAATTCTTCAACTGTGCTGTAGTTATTTAATTTAATTTCTTCAATTTTCCCTCTGCATATTATTTGCATTGCTGCGGACTTGGTTAAATATATTTTGTCAAACTTCTTCATTATTTCAAACGCTGTTCGACACTCACTAATGTATTCCAGTTGTTTATCTGATATTGTGCTCATTATTATTGTTCTAGCTTTTAAATCTTTCTTTTTCCACTCGACGTCTGCGGCATCTTCATTTTTCATGATGGCGACCACGTGGCATTCTTTATATTCTAACAAAGTTAGTAACCTTAATTTCCAACTTGAATAGTTAACCCCATCGAAAATAGGCATCATTATATCTTCTATTTTTGCTTGTTTAGCCATTTTGACGATACTTTAAACTTCTTTTCTATTTTTCGTTTTTGCCGGCTCAGCGTAACGATAACCTTGAAATTCACGATCGTATTCACCTTTATTCTGTACTTTTAAATCTTCTTAGTATACTTTTTCATTGAGTTTTTTCTTTAAACCACGCTCTGCTACCATGTTAAAATACTTAGATGAAATAAAACCCTTTTTTAAAGACCTCCGTATATTTTATCAACCTTCAACCGACATAGCTATGATACGACTTTTTGACACACAGATTAACAACATTGCAAATTAACATAGATTATAAAATTTACATATATTCAACAGATACTTCAGGCATTATGGCCATAAAGAAATCTTAAATGACCTATGCATGAAATAATGCGAAACATCGATTGTTTTTATTATAGCATAACGATACTTTGCATTTTTTACAGAACCAGGAGGTAAGTTTCCTACAATTACTAAATTTACATTTATTCCTAGACTCCATAAATATTTTTTCATGGCCAATACAATCGGAACGCATGTCAGTTGGGGGTAGTACTTGTGCACCTGTCCGGGGTTTTTTAGAGGGTACTGTATTGTCTTGTTGACTGTTGGTACTGGGTCTGCCTCTTTTATTTTTTGAGTGACTTTGATATCTACATAAAGTATCGGCAAGCTCAGTTCTAAAATCTGCTAACTTCATAATATTCTTCTGAAGTTTTCCTTTCCTTGTGTTTACCTTTTTGTACAGTACCCAAGCATTGATGACAGTCATGTCTAACAAGTGGTAGAAGAGCCTCGTTGTCCACTTTCTCGACTTTATGCGGATGCGATATCGACCAATAAAGCTATCCATCAAATCAACGCCGCCCATGTGTGCATTATATTCTTTTACAACCCGAGGACATGATATTTGAATATTGGCCTTTAGTTTTTTTTCGTAGCGGTTTATAGTATCCGCTGGTTCAGCGCCAACATACGTGGATAGTAATAATACCTGTTTGTTGTCTTTCCAACTTGTGGCCGACAATTCTAGGCCTTCGTGAGAGGCCACATTTTCGTGATATGTTCCTCTGGGTACGTTGGATTTCATAATATCCCGTTTCTGCGGCAACTTGCACGACTTTCCAAGCCTGTTTCTCTGTACTGTTCCAAGACAATAAATACCTTCGTTGGTCAAGTGATGTACCAGAGGAATATTCGTATAAAATTGTCAAAATAAATTATATGATTGACATGCCTTGGTACTGGTCGTAGCAATCGAATAACTGTATTTGACACAGCTCCGAGGTCTGGTTCGCCAGGTAAACGGTCCATGTCCTTAGCTCCCGAGTAAATCTCAAAACTGTAGGCATAACCAGACAGAGAGCATAACACGTATAATTTGAATCCCCACTTATGGGGCTTGTTGGGTAAATATTGTTTCATAAAATGTTTCATTTTTGTGGAACACATCTGCTCGTCTAGTGATAGACGATGCTCAAATGGTAAAGTAATAAATTTCTTGTTCAAATAGTCTATCACTGGTCTTACTTTATGCAGTCGGTCGTGCTGGGGGTGATCAATGGGCAAATGTTTAGAGTCGTCATTCATGTGAAAAATTTCTCTAATTTTATCAAATCTGTTGCGATTCATTGTTTGTACTGTAGGTTCAAACTTTGTAATGTTTGACCAGTATGACCGGACACTAGGATAATGATATACACTAGTAAAAATAAGAATTCCAATAAATTTACGTAATTCCAAGACAGTTACAGGTTCTGTAAAGTTGGAATTCTTTTGGAAGGCATATTTATTTGACTCGTCCACTAGAAATCTCAAAATGTCTTCACCGAAAAAATAAGAAAAAAAAACTGAAATGGAGTGTCTAAGTTCATAATTTCTTGTGAATACTCAGTATTTCCAGCAAACTGGAAAGCATTTTGGACTAAATCCATATTTTTTACTCTCCACACTAAGTTGAAAGGTGCAGTTTGCAGGTTGTTCTGGCTGCTGGTTGTAGGAGTTGGGTTTCGTTCAACAGTCTCTAAATTATGTTGCATGTCGGTATCTACGTTTGCTGCAGGATCTGCATCCAAGTTTGGGTCAGTGGGAAAATTACCTACATCCTCTCTAGACGATCTCTTTGGCTCGAATAATAGTCTATGTCATCATCATTGTCGGTGGAATCGTCTTCCGAAATTTCACCATTTTCTAACAGCTTCAATATGTTCTCAATCTCTTCTGGCCGCATTTTGGATAAATTTCTATAATAAATAAAAACAAAAGTAATCCCCACACCAAGCTATGCAGAAAAAATATGAAACGAAAGTTCATAAAGTTTTATAGCTAAAGAGTTAGTAGGTAGGTTTTATGTAGGGCGGAATGCCTGAAGTATCAATATTGATACCAAAAAAAAAACACTAATTTCTTCAAGTAAAACATGCATTTGCTAAAAATAATTATATCATAGCGAAAATAATGTATTCACTTACCTCAAAAGTATTTATATTCTTCAGAAAAAGAAAATATATCAAATTTATATTCAACAAAACTTTTAGTAAAATGTGTTTACTTGTTCACTTTGCCGCGCAAGTAATATGTCACAGATAAAATAAAACAATAATGACATTTGTTTTTTTTTTAATTTCGTTGGATAGAATACTATACAACAGTAAAATACATACAGCCAACATATAAAAAAAACTAATAGTAATGTGAATATTCGGTTTAAAATATTAGTACTAAAATTGAAACTCTAGGTTATTGAGGGTTAAATATTAGATAGATAGATAGATAGATAAAACTTTATTTGGTCCACACCACAACACGAGAAAAATAAAAGATAAACAATAATGAAATATTAAAATTAAAAAAGAATAATAATTAAACAAAAAAAAAACTTATAGCTAACTTACAAGAATAATTACATCTATGTTTACTTAATCCAAATTAAATTATATAAACAAAAATAGATTTACTACCACAAAGCTATAAAAAAAAGGAAAAATAAAAGAAATATAATAATTAAATAGACTAAAATAAAAAGAAAGTGCAAATAAATTTTGAACTGGTGTGGCATCCAAAATGGAAAACCCCATCAGTTAAAGCTGGCATAATACTATCCCAGCACTGATTTTCAGAGGCCTCCATATTAACAAATTCAAACAATTAAACATTTTATTATTACTTATTATGGTGAAAAGATATAAATGAGTTTTATAGAAAAAGTAAAAGAGAGAAAAACAAGAAAAATTAAATATAAACATGTTGTTCAATATACGAGTAGAAATAAACACATACATACAATACACTTAATATTAAAAAGCACATATATCTAATAATATTGGAACAGCAAGCTTCCAAACTATGTAGATTGAAGGGTATGTCCGTATTTAAATTATAACTTGGAATTACTATTGCTCATTTAATACATCAATAACCTGTTTTTTATAAGCACTACCTACTACAGTTAGTGAAAATGTCTAAATTGTAAAACTTCTATTATGCATTAAGAATTCGATTTAATGGGGAACGCATACCGGCATTAGTGCGGGATCGCGCTACATCAAAGGCAAGGGTACAGAACTACAGAATATCCAATTTTGTTTATAATGTTCGGGCAATCGAACTTATTATTACAAATATCTTAAAGTAAAACAGCTTCCAATTACAGTCGTCTAGATTTAAGATCAAGTAATTTGTAGTTCTTTAACCCTTAACTAGGCGCATTAAAAAAAATCACCCAATTAGGCGCATGGGGTCTTGAGTGACCCCAAATAAATATTGGGAAAGAATGGTCAGAAAGAAATAAAATGAAATGTATTTTATAGTAATTAATAAAGTTATTTATTATATCATTATATTAATAACTTAAAAAAAAACAAAAACATAACATAATTATATCTAATAAAAAATTATAACCTCTCTCAAAATTATTTTTTTTTGGTATGGCCGAGATCAATTTAAAAAATAAGAACTAATCAGTCTCCTCAGCGGATTCTTCTGTTCTGCATCCGACGCAGTAAACCCTCGAGTGTTGCTGACAAATAAATTTATGACACTTGAAGCATTTTGTTGGCAGTTTTTTGTCGTTCTTTCTAGGACATGATGGACAGCGCCCGCGCTTAGCTGTCGTTCGTTGGACCGTCTCGTCCACATTATGAATTTCACAGAGACGTTTCTTTGTTGTAGCACGTTGTTGTATGCGACGTTTTTGGTGATCTATCACAAGTGCTGCTGCTAATTTTTTCAAAAATATCCGCCTTGTATGCGTGATACACTTATCAGTATTTGCATTGTGTATGACAAATCCATTGACACCAGATACGTTTACTAGGTTAAAAAATACAGCCAGGAGCCCTCTTTTTGTTCTTCTTCCAACGTTATAATTGCTGCAATGGTAATTACAATCCACACCACCTTTGGTACTTGTAATAAGTAATTATTTCTGTCTTTTGAGCGCTGGCTGTTGTTTCGTCAATGGAGCTATCATTGTGCATGGTGGAAAGTAAAACAACAGCTTTCTTTGGCTTAGGAATATGAGACTATAGTCATTTGATTATGAAATCCGAAAACTGAAGTAGGTGGTCTATTTTCGTTTGGTAAAAATTCAGTAGGAATATCTGGCTTCCTTTTATTCAAAGTGCCAACAAGAGTCAGTTTATATTCAGGCGTTTGCAACTCCTTAGCCAGTTTTGTATTTGTGTATCAATTGTCAGTTATATTTCGACCGCTACGCTTTATTGGTTCAACTAGACATTTTACAATCTCATCTGGAAAATTAGATATCTGATATTCGCCATCTGTTAAACAAGTAATATGTTTTTCAGTCCACCATGGCTTGGACTTTTATTCCGTACTTGTTTGGTTTGTTAGGCATGTAAACCTTCCCTCTAAAGCGACCACGAAAACCGATCAACTGTTTTTCAATAGTTACATTCTCGCCGGGGCAATAAGCAGCTAAAAAGTTGTTCTCTATAATTACGGTTTGAGATATCTTTATTAATTCTGACAAGAATAAAATTCACTTTGGAGATACTATAAGATACATTAAAAAATTTTATATAATGAGCTAGCGTTACCAAAAAAAAACAGAGGGTAAAGTTAAAACATTATTCATACTAAACAACAAACATTACAGGGTGAGCGTAACTGGAAGTGTCTTTTTATTATGAAGATTCTTTGGTTTTGTGTAAATGTGAATTGGGAGATTAGCTGTCACCTCTTCACGAGTGTAAGCGGGGCTAACTTTTGACTTGAGGCAATTGGGTTTTTAATGAAGATGGGTTGGTCAGGCGAATAAGTAACTTCAGGTTCACGATTCTTGTTATGTCCTGTCATTATATTAGTTCGTTCCTCAATACCTAGCTCATGAATCGTGTTATATACTGTAGTCATTTTAGCTTTATGATCGATCATATACTGTTGTAATAAGTGTACCGAAATATCTATATTAAAAGGATCACGGGGGTCGAAATGTCCTGTAACAAGATCTAGAGGTTCACACTTGGTAAAACTATGAATACTACTGTTGTAAGCTAAAATTGTGTAAGGCATAATGTTAATTACTAAATCTGATTTTTGGCTTAATTTAAGTATACGATATTCGAGTGGATGAAAAATCTTGATTGATTAAAATGACACACAAAATTTAAAATAATACACAATTAAAATTCAAAAAGTTTAAATAACCGAAATAAATGCACATTAAATGTAATAAAATTCACACTAACTGATTCGAGAGTCAGGTGAAAATGTAGGCCTATTAAAAACTATTATCCGTATTACTATAAATTCTTTTAATTAATTTTAAACAAAATTAATTATGAAATAAATTGATTTTATTAAGTAAAGATTAGAAATATTTAAATTGAATTAATTAAAATAATTCACCTAAATCTATAAATAAAATTAATGAATATATTACGGAATCCTAAAAAAGGTATATGCGAATAAATAATTAATAAAATAGTTACATATAGTTTGAATAAAATAGGGATATGAACTAGGAAAGTAAGGACTGAGATAGATTCAAAGTACTTACAGCATATCTGAATTTTGGTATCAATTGCGTAATCGATTTTCAGATCTCCCCCGAACCGTTCGAACCGAATAGGTTTCGGATACTCGAAAACGGTGCTTAGCCACCCGGGTTTGATAGATCACAAACTATCCTCGAGTATCCTACCGACTGCTCCAATTATGATTTCGACGGTCGGTGGATGCAATGAAACCAAAATTATTTGACTTAATTTAATTAAAAGTAAGTTACAACTAGGGTGTGACTATGTTGCACGAAGGTTGAACAAATGGTGACATTAATTTAATCAAATTCTTAAACGAAATCTTATAATCTAAAAACATAAAAGAAATATAAAACCAAGAACTGTCTTCACACGGAACTGCTGAGTCAGACCCGTGTAGAATAGCCGAGTTTACCCAGAAGCTAAGGCGTCCTCTGATTACACCGTACAAAGATAATTATATTTTAATTAAACGACCACTTATCACACCGTCACATAACAAGATTTTATTTTTATATTATTATTTGTTTTGTTTTAAAATATGGAATTTTAAAAGTGTTTTATATGTAGACAAAGATTTGGCACGTTTTATATCTGATGGGAGTTTATTGTAGAACTGAGCACCTTGATATATTAAAGTTCTTTTTCCTTAATTAGTTCAGGGGCGTATAGATTTATGTCATTTGCTCGTCGTAATATTTTTGTTTGGATTTGGTGTTTTTTTGTGAAAGTTATTTGGGAGTGGATGTCTTTATTTTGAATTTTTCTTATTAGTAGGCAAGTGCTGTATTGATACGTTTGTGAAATAGTCAAAAGTTTTAAATCTTTATAAATTTTTTGGGAGGACGTTAAAAAATTATAATTGAATAAAACCTTAATTAATTTATTTTGAGCTCGTTGCAAAGGTTCTAAATTCGTTTTGGCGGATGTGCCCCATATTTCAATCAGATAGTCAATGTGGGGTTTAATGAGCAGGTTATATATTAGAAAACGTACATGAAGTAGGAGACACCGAACAATTCCGCGCAAAGCTCGAGAAAGAGAAATTATTTTTGACTTTATTTTTAGTATATAATGTTCCCATGTCAAGCTGTGATCCAAAATAAGTCCAAGGTATTTTTCGTGGTTTACTTTATTTATAATTTGGTTATTAATATTTAATGTAAAATGTTCAGGTATTCTTTTATTTTTTTACATTTTTTTAATTTGACACAAATATGTAATCGCTGCCATATTATCAATTTTTAGTCTTTCCTCTCGACCTGATGTATTATCAAAACGCAGACATCTCAACAAAAACAGAAAACGTTTATAAGACATTGTTAAATTTAAAGAGTTTATTTTCTCATAAAAACTATTAAATAGATACATTAATATGTAGTTACAATATAACACCTCTGGAGCGCCGGTATTTGAACAAACTATTATCGTCTAAACCGTATTTACGTACTCCTTCAGCTTTGTCTTAAATATAGTCATACTCTCTACCTTCTTTATATCATTTGGTAAATTGTTATATAACTGCACTCCATCAAATAATATAGTTTTTTGACCGAACTTTGTACGTACACTAGCCAGCCTCAATTTGTCTTTACTTCTTAATTCATGTTAAGTTGTTCTCTCATCAATATTGATGTTAGAGTGAATTGAACTGGTAATTATTTTTTTTACTAGGATACAAGCATAATACGTGTACAGTTGGTTGATATTTAGCAATTTTATTTCTTTATCCAATTTTTTGGTTGAAGTTAAATACGGATTTTTTTTTATGGGAAAAGGGGGCAACCGAGCAGACGGCCTACTTGATGGTAAGTAGTTACCGTCGCCCATTGACATCTGCAACTGCAGATGTGTGTCCGCCCTCGTTTGGGGAAAATGGGGAGTAAAAGGTGGGAAAGGGTGGGAAAAGGGAAAGGGCAACCGGCTCTCTAACTCACCGGACGAAACGCAGCCATTAAAGACTACTTCACGCCGATCTTCTATGAGAAGGTGGTACTTCCCCGGTCGAGCCAGCCCATGTTCGAGGTGTAGTAATTTGACCACAGCTAGGCTCTACCACCTCTAAACATAACGGAAAGTGTTTTAATAAGTTTATTTTGTAGTCTTTGTAACGGTATTAAGTTTGTCTTGGCAGCAGATCAATCATTATTTGGAATGCAATTTGAGACCTTTCTTAGGGCACACAGTGTAGGAACTAGTTTGGTTCTGACGTGCTTTATATGTTCTTTCCACGTTAACTTTTCTTAATACTCTTTATTGCACTGAATAATTAACAAGGTTATTTTATTAACATTTCTACCCCTGATCCATCTTGTGCCCATAAATCAATAAAATTCAACTGTGACGCTGTTAGGACTCCTGCAAAAAATGCATTAATTTCCGTAACATCTGATGGGAGTGCATCACGATCTCTTTCGAACTTTTCCATTATTTTATCAATATATAAATTGGTATTTGTGACCAAAAGTTCAATAACAACACTGTCAAAGAACAATTGAAAGCATTCAAGGAGATTTGGCGTTCCTTGCATACTCTTTGACTCCCGGTAAGTGAAGAATAATATTTTGTGCTCGGGTCCCTACTGCGTTAGATGGTGGTACTTTAGACCATTTTTGAGCCATTTCTCTGAGTATGTTGAGATAAAAAAAAGTTACCTTCCGATGGTTCAGGGATGTTTTGAATATCTCCGGACTCTTCAATTACGCTTTCTGAATCATGGGCACTATCAATAGCAGCATCATTTTCCGTTTTGTCTTCCGAATCCGAACCAGCTACATCTTGCTCTTCATCGGACACTTCTTCGAGCCATCGCAATATTTGTCTTTGATTAGACATTTCAAATCGGTGAAAAACTGAAAAAAAAAGGAAAAATAATCAAAATAAACTCAAAAACACATAAAATAATTACGTAGTATATAAATACATACATACCAAGAAAAATAATTAACAATATACTAAATTGAGCTAAAAGAAAAAACTTGCCTTAGTTAAAAATTAATATATTCAACAGTAACAATGTTTTCAGTTATCGTTTCTTTACAATAATAATATCTGACATCTATATGCTTCGTTTTATTTTGAAAAAACTGAGTTAGATAACAATTTCTGAGCACTCATACTATTATTGAATATAGTAATTGTACGGGACCGACGTACACGTACATTGGGGTTGGATTTGGAAAATGCTTGACGTAAATAAAACACGTTCTGCTTTCAATCGCGTGAGAGTGAAGCAAGGATTCGTTCAGACTAACTTTCTGTATTCTTGAAATGTTTTCTTGAGGTGTTTTCTTTTCTGAGTTCCGTGGTAGAGTACGCCTATTGAGCCCAACTGTGCGACTTATTTATTTATTTATATACTCTTTATTGTACACCAATATAGACACAAATAATAAGTGAAAAACAAAGAAAGGAAAATGTATAAATAGACTTATATTTGGGTTACCGCGTCCCTCGCCCCCCTGTCCGTGCCTTACCCCTGATTCACCTCCGCAACTTTACTGTATCAAGTTTAAATAACAAATTCACTTACTATCTATTCTATCGTGTTAAATCTAGGCAATATCTCTGTTCTGTCATATTTTATTTTATTTTATTGGAGAAAAAAAAAACAGCGATGACTTGGAGTTTGCGCTGATACGGCCTTTCTGATGATGGGCGCGTCCCTGCGCCTACATCATGAAAGGACATGGAAAATTAACAAGTATTAATTCATGTAAAAACAAGTTCACCGTCTGTGAACCTCATTGCTAATTTTGGTTGCTATCAAAGCACGTCAACCTCATAGTCTCATCGCTAATTTTGGTTGCTATCAAAGCACGTCAACCTCATAGTCTCATCGCTAATTTTGGTTGCTATCAAAGCACGTCAACCTCATAGTCTCATCGCTAATTTTGGTTGCTATCAAAGCACGTCAACCTCATAGTCTCATCGCTAATTTTGGTTGCTATCAAAGCACGTCAACCTCATAGTCTCATCGCTAATTTTGGTTGCTATCAAAGCACGTCAACCTCATAGCCTCATTGCTAATTTTGGTTGCTATCAAAGCACGTCAACCTCATAGTCTCATCGCTAATTTTGGTTGCTATCAAAGACGTCAACCTCATAGCCTCATTGCTAATTTTGGTTGCTATCAAAGCACGTCAACCTCATAGTCTCATCGCTAATTTTGGTTGCTATCAAAGCACGTCAACCTCATAGTCTCATCGCTAATTTTGGTTGCTATCAAAGCACGTCAACCTCATAGTCTCATCGCTAATTTTGGTTGCTATCAAAGCACGTCAACCTCATAGTCTCATCGCTAATTTTGGTTGCTATCAAAGCACGTCAACCTCATAGTCTCATCGCTAATTTTGGTTGCTATCAAAGCACGTCAACCTCATAGTCTCATCGCTAATTTTGGTTGCTATCAAAGCACGTCAACCTCATAGTCTCATCGCTAATTTTGGTTGCTATCAAAGCACGTCAACCTCATAGTCTCATCGCTAATTTTGGTTGCTATCAAAGCACGTCAACCTCATAGTCTCATCGCTAATTTTGGTTGCTATCAAAGCACGTCAACCTCATAGTCTCATCGCTAATTTTGGTTGCTATCAAAGCACGTCAACCTCATAGTCTCATCGCTAATTTTGGTTGCTATCAAAGCACGTCAACCTCATAGTCTCATCGCTAATTTTGGTTGCTATCAAAGCACGTCAACCTCATAGTCTCATCGCTAATTTTGGTTGCTATCAAAGCACGTCAACCTCATAGTCTCATCGCTAATTTTGGTTGCTATCAAAGCACGTCAACCTCATAGTCTCATCGCTAATTTTGGTTGCTATCAAAGACGTCAACCTCATAGCCTCATCGCTAATTTTGGTTGCTATCAAAGCACGTCAACCTCATAGTCTCATCGCTAATTTTGGTTGCTATCAAAGCACGTCAACCTCATAGTCTCATCGCTAATTTTGGTTGCTATCAAAGCACGTCAACCTCATAGTCTCATCGCTAATTTTGGTTGCTATCAAAGCACGTCAACCTCATAGTCTCATCGCTAATTTTGGTTGCTATCAAAGCACGTCAACCTCATAGTCTCATCGCTAATTTTGGTTGCTATCAAAGCACGTCAACCTCATAGTCTCATCGCTAATTTTGGTTGCTATCAAAGCACGTCAACCTCATAGTCTCATCGCTAATTTTGGTTGCTATCAAAGCACGTCAACCTCATAGTCTCATCGCTAATTTTGGTTGCTATCAAAGCACGTCAACCTCATAGTCTCATCGCTAATTTTGGTTGCTATCAAAGCACGTCAACCTCATAGTCTCATCGCTAATTTTGGTTGCTATCAAAGCACGTCAACCTCATAGTCTCATCGCTAATTTTGGTTGCTATCAAAGCACGTCAACCTCATAGTCTCATCGCTAATTTTGGTTGCTATCAAAGCACGTCAACCTCATAGTCTCATCGCTAATTTTGGTTGCTATCAAAGCACGTCAACCTCATAGTCTCATCGCTAATTTTGGTTGCTATCAAAGCACGTCAACCTCATAGTCTCATCGCTAATTTTGGTTGCTATCAAAGCACGTCAACCTCATAGTCTCATCGCTAATTTTGGTTGCTATCAAAGCACGTCAACCTCATAGTCTCATCGCTAATTTTGGTTGCTATCAAAGCACGTCAACCTCATAGTCTCATCGCTAATTTTGGTTGCTATCAAAGCACGTCAACCTCATAGTCTCATCGCTAATTTTGGTTGCTATCAAAGCACGTCAACCTCATAGTCTCATCGCTAATTTTGGTTGCTATCAAAGCACGTCAACCTCATAGTCTCATCGCTAATTTTGGTTGCTATCAAAGCACGTCAACCTCATAGCCTCAGCGCTAATTTTGGTTAATCTCATAAATTACCTTAAGATATTACCTCATTGCTCGTTTACAGCTAAACAACCATTGCTACTCATCTTTGGATGAACTTGCTTCATTTTCGATGTCTTTATTAATCGCCGATATGGCCACGTCATTTTGTACTCCGAATTTAGGAGCGCTTCTTAATTGTTCATGGCATACTTTTCTTGACCGACCGCGACCACTGATTCGTCGAATTTCATACCTATCATGAGGTAAAACTTTTCTTATTTCGAAAGGTCCATCATATTTTTGGCTTAATTTGGTACCCAGACGTGGCGGTTCTTTTAACAAGATAAATAAGATAATAATTAAAGACAAATAATACCTGAGTCCTTAAATATTTCTCACTAAGAAATATAGATAAATTATAAAGAGAGGCCGCTTGGGCACGCATCTCTAATAATACACTTGATAAAAGTCATGTATACAAATAAAGTGTGTAAATTTAATTTAAGGATGTGAAGGGAGTAATGGTAAATGTGCAGTGAATATTTAGCGTTTAAACTAAACTGAACTCTTAAACAATGTTAAAGTTTGGTTGAGTTTATATGCTATTTTTTCCACTCAAGGCAGGTCCACTCCAGACAGGAAGCAGCTTTTAATGCTGCAATTTGCTTGTTAGTAAGGCCCGTACATTTTTTATTGAGATGCACAAATTTTTCGCATTTACTACACTCAACACATATGGACGATTTTGTTATGGGTTTCTTACAAACATCGCACTTTGACATTTTTGAGGGAATTACGAGAAAATATTATAACGAGATACGTAGATGCGTTATGCTGCATAACTTATGCACGACAGTCTAGTGACGACTGACATTACATAGCGAGTGGTCACGAAAGCTCCACGGGACGATATTTATTCTTACTTCTTCTTTACAATATAGATAAACTATCAATTATAATAAAACAACAGTAATAAACTCTACTATATTAAGATACACGGGTCAACATGAAATTTGACTTAGCAAAGCATTAAATTTCGGTAGCGTAGGTCGTAATAAGACGGAAAAAATATATGTATATGGCATGAAAAACTTTGCTTTTGTGCTTAGAAGACTGATTGAAGGAAATTTTTAAAAATCTCGGATTTTTATTTTTAGTTTCACTGTCAAATTAGCTTACAGAAAAGTGGAAAATAACTTAAAAGTGCACACTTTAACTTTTTCTTTTATGTTCATAGCTACTTTCTCTCAATAAACCTTAAATATAGTCGCCCATCATGTTTTCGTTGTATTGGCCATGATAGCGTTGTAGCGTTGTTCTAAATTCATGATGTCCTGATGGAAACGTTCTCCTAGCTCTTCGGAATAGGCTCTCATATTGTTTTTAAATTTATCCAAATGAGCATGCAGCATATGTACTTTTAATGACATCCTGCAGCCTTAAAATTTGTAAGCATATCCTCAACCACTTTTCGTAGTTTTCAGCTTCATTATTTCCTAAAAATCCAGATACTACTGATTTAAAACTGTTCCAACTTGCTTTTTGAGTACGACTCAGTAGCGTTGGAAATTTTTCATCTGCGAAAATCTGTCTTATTTGCGGACCAACAAAAACCCCAGCTTTGACCTTTGCTTCCGATAACTTCGGAAAAAATTTTTTCAAGTATTCAAGTGCTTTTGAAGTTTCATCCAGTTTTTTAACAAATCGTTTCATCAAACCTAACTTAACGTGCAAAGGCGGCATTAACACCTTTTCCGCTTCAACAATCGGCTCAAATTTGACGTTCTGTTTTCCGACACACAAATTGGGATTTTGAAAAAAAAAGTATTGATTTTTTTTATGTATTTTAAAACTTTATTATTAATTATATTGATTTTTAATGCAAAAAACTTGAATTTTTTTTATTAATTTATTATGTATAAACAATTAAAAATTGATAAAATTCAAAAAAAATCACGTGACTGTAAACGCGCCATGATTGGTCGGCCTACTTGTGACGTCAAAGCAATTTCATAATAGTACAGTGTTTATGGCTATTATCTTTGACTTGATAAAAATATCTCAAATTTATTAGTGAAAAACGATTTGAAAAGTTTATTTCGACTAACTATGTGTGATAAACGATTTATATTATACATATATATATTTATTTCTAACGATTCATTTAAAATTTCTTCAATGACTTGTTGTCTCCGTCTTTTTTCTGCAGCTGTTCTAATAAGAGTCATTGCAGTGCCTTGTCGTTTACGTTTGGGTTGACATTCAAACTTGTGTGGTACCACATCAATTTTAATCTTTGCTTTACCTCCCATAGTGGTATAATAAATATAATTTTCCATATCATCATCATTTAGCTAGAAAACCAAAATAACATATACTTTAAAAATTTAAATGTAGTCTGATACAGAACCTAGAATGTTATAAAATTATGAAAATATCTATTAATTGAATTCCAATTATTAGACAAACATACATATAAATTTACTATTTAATCGCTTTGAATTATCAATTAAATTTTTTTTAATGCTACGATTCTAAAGATTATGATTTGGAGCCCAGGTAAAAAAATTAATTACTGAACTATACTTATTCGATTTATACACTTAGATAAATAATAATTAATAACAATATTATTATGAATACTTACATCGAAATGATCTTCACAACAAAAAAAAAAATTGATTTTGTTTTTGAATAATCTCGGTGCACTGCTTGAAACCATTTCTTTCGACGTTTTTCGTCTTGTGGAACATTTAAAAACATTTTTTCAGGAGTTGTTTTTGTAGTATTTGTACATAATGGTACAAAACAAGAGCGATAACTTTTGAGTTTTGACATTTTTGATTATTTAACAATGCCAACAGAATTTACTAGATAAAAACTCAAAACACTGTACTAATTATTATATCTCTGTATGCTACAATGAGCAAAAACTAACATTGTGACGTCACACGCGCTCGGGTTTATTCGCGAGCTGTCGGCGGGTCTTCGGTACTGAATTTAAAATTTAATTTTTATTTTGAAATAACTTTTTAATTATTGCAAAAAAAACAAATAGTTTTGTTATAAAACTTGTGATAAATGGAAAACCCAATTCTGTCCTTACAGGTCCTGACCGTTGAATATATGTAGTAGGGGAAGGGGGGGCATAACGGGGACTTTAAGGGAAAAAATAAAAAAAACAGTAAACATAAAATATTTTTTAATGAAAACTAATGACAACACTGGTTACTTATTAAGCTATCATTTGGCACCGAATTTGGTGAAGTAAGAAATCAAATAATATTTTTAATTTTAATAATACAAAACCTTAATGAAAACTCCATCGTGCCCCGGGGTAGGGGCAGTATGGGGTACTCAGTCTGGGGCAGCACGGGGTACACTATTTTATTTATCACAGAATAAGCAGATGTGGATTTCTTCCAAAACAGCGTCATCAACTCCTGCACAGGCTGTATGGGCCCACTGTCCACATAGTTGGCAGGCCACCCAATGCTCCGAAGACTTCAAATAAGTGTGGTTTGAGTCAACACAATAGATGCATAAGGCATCCTCCTTAACATTTTCGCCTTCAGAGCGAGCTTTTTGAGTCCTCTGTTTCATTGAGTTTTTTTTATATCCGTGATCAGTCGGACTGGAACACTTCTTCGTCCGTTTAAGTTGTTCGCGCTCTTCTAATTCGTTCTTGTAGGGAGTAGAAGTGAGAACAACCGTTTTCCCTCTGCGATAATTTTTTCTCGTTTGGTTTCTTTGTTCAACGGTAGGGATGGGGAGAATGTCTTTGGGAGAAGCGTTTTCAAAGGAAGTTGTTAAATAACGACATACTCTTCGGATTGGAGATCGGGAAACGCTATTTTCTTGTTGCATAGATGGTCCAGACTGAGGCTCTGATATAGGCGTTTCCTGATGTACTGCAGGTAAAATAGGTTCAAGGGGAGGCGGCAGTGGTTGCTGATTATTAACAGTTGAAGACGGTTGCTGAATATCAGCAGTTGAAGAAGTTGTTTCAGTTTCATAATTTGTGATCGGAATGTCAGTTGTTGATGCAGCTAAAAAATCTGAATCGGTGAAATTATTTTGGTTAAATGGCCATATCCCACATTTTTTAAATGCATTAATTGCCGTGCACATTGTTGCAGCCTGAATATAAGCATCTGCAAAAATTTCGCTTATTTGAAAGGTTGTAATTATTCGGCCTGGGTGCGACCGTAACCAGTTAGAACAAGCATGATCATAATACACACTCAATGGCTTCATGAAGCCGACATCCAGGGGTTGGAGCCTGTGGGTGCAATGGGGGGGAAAACAAAGCATAACAACACCATTTTTACGTGCATTTTCAATAACTATTATAATATTATCAAATTAGCAGACCATAATAATTATTATAATATTATCAAATTAGCAGACCATTCAGGGGCATAATGGGGACGGGGCACAATGGGGTACCTCATTGTGCCCCATAGCTATGTCCCCGTTATGCCCCCATGTCTAATAGAATTTTAAATAACGAACAAAAAAAAATAATTAAAGGTAAGAGTGATTTCGCTCAAAACATATCTATAGTTGATGTTAGTAGCAATACACATTAAAAAACTTATAGTAGTATGTAATCTAAACACTTACCGTTTTAGACGCGTTTTGGTAACCACTCAAAATTAGATGAAATGTCGCTAGAAAAATGAATTGATCGTCACAAATAAATGCGTGCACTCTGATCGCCGGTCGCTGACGCACTGAAGGTCAATGCAAAATGCCCTCTGATTGGCTAAAACAAAACACGGCTAGCGACCGTAGTTACTTGTATGTGTGGGTGGCCCCGTCGTGCCTCGCGTCCCCGTTATGCCCCCCCTTCCCCTATTTAGAATCCGCTCCTCTGTCCCACAAGCACAAATAACACGGTTCCTTGTATATCCACCCTGTAGCCCCATTGAAAATCTCACCATTTTAAAATCTCCAATCAGCTCCCAGTTATATGTACTCACAATACTTCTATTCAAGCAAAATTTTAACACTTTCATAATTTTCTTTAAGATGTACTGAGTGAGCAATTGGAAGAGACGGAAATTTAATTCCGTTGTGCAATAGAACTGCTTTTAAACTTTTTGTAGAGTTGTCAATGAATAAACGCCATTCGCTAGGGACACAGGGTATGCCAATTGCTTCAAATATACCTTTAATGTCATTACAAAAACAAAGTCTATTTTCCTTCCATTTCCAGGGGCGTCCACACTAAGCGAGCTTGTGTCGTGGATGCCTTAAAATGTCGCTCCTTTATAGCAGGTCCTCATCGTACGGCGATGCTGTAGATTTTTTATTAATTTTTGTATAAGCTCCTTCTGACATGGTCAGAGCCCTTGTTTGCATAATTTTTATCCTTCCATTCCAGTTCTCCCATTTATTAGGGCCTGCCATTCTGCATACTATGTCTTTCTTTCATACATTTATTTATTTATTGGGAAACAAACAGCATATACAACATCATTATAGTTTTCACATATTAAAATAATTACATAAGCCAACAAAGCCACTTTTGCACAGTTTCATGGAGTGAACATAAAACAAAAATACTTAATTTAAACACTTTACAATTCAAAGTGAATTTCAGTATAAGAAAAACAAACATCTTAAATATAATAACTATATGAGCTTTTTCAGAACACGAGAATACTTTAAAAAACTGTCATTAAAAATATCAACACAGTTAAATAATGCGTTTTAGTTAGTACACGCTAGTACACGTTACTACACGTAAAACGATTTATTGCATAATTTCTTTTACATAATGGGACATGGGACATCCTTTCACACTTTAATTATAGTGTACCTATCTTATTTTATTTCTATTTGTCATTTTCATTTTGGGTCAATGGGAGTTGTCAATCTTTATTCCAATAATAAAAGGTTAAAATATTACAATTCCAAATACATGACATAAACTAAATCGATACAATTAAAATATAAAATAAATTAAATAAATCTAATAAAACATATGTTATCAAATAATTAAATTAATTAATTTATTTATTTATTTATTTATTTAATTTAAAATTCGAGCAACAAAAGACTCAATTTGTTAATAACAATATAAAACTTAAAAAACTACGTTAGTATTTATCATTGCTTCACCATCCCACTAGAGATGGCGCAGCAATGGTTTACATATAAACAATCTAGCCTATTACATATCATATTTAATTTTAATACATTAAAATTTTTAAAACTTAAACTAATATAACAGTAAATTAATTTTTTTTATATACAATTAAAAATAATTTGTAATATGTAATTGGAATAATAAAATTGACATTAATTAAATAATTAAAATAAAACATTATAATAATAATAATAATAATAATCATTTATTTCAAATCATATTGTTGATCCATATAGTGTTAGTATAAATTAAACTTAATAAATTAATTGGTTAGTAAAGTTACAAAAAGAAAAGCAATTTTATTTCTGATACTTAACAAATTTTAAACAAAACATATATTTTACTTAACTACGTGGAGTCGTATCCAGTGTGCTAAAATTGGTGAATCCCAGCGATCCAACAATGCATATATATAATATAATCATTATCTTGTTTTGTTTCTTTCATTTGCTAGTTTGACTACTTTCATGCAGAACCGCTCTAGCTACGGCCTGGAGTGCTTATCAGGGAATTTCGCTACTGTTGTTTCGCTTATTCTCTCTCCAGTACTTATTTCCAAGTTAGTTTCCAAGTTTTACCTCAACCGTAGCTCCTTCGGTGTACCTTCTGTGCGCGCCCTTTCTCAATTGTCCTTTGTCATATGAGATTAGACACTTTTCATAAGCTGGGGTGACCCTCGATTGAACCGCCAGCCTAGGTAACTCCTTGCCGTATATATCCCTACGTGAGCCTTCACCCAAAAGAACCTTAGAGTTTTCCCTCTCCCCTACAACTCTCTGATATTCTGCCGGATAGGGTAAAGGAAGGAAAGAGTGCGCAGTTTTGAAAGATTATTTATTTAAAAAATTAACTAACAAGTTATAGTCTTCAATTTTACTTATAATTAAACTTCAGGTATTTAGGAGCATATTTAAATTTTTTGAGACGAATCAACTTTTTTTTTAATTTATATTTGGGAAACATACAGTGAATTATTACATAGAATGAAATAATTATTTCTAAATCATAAGCCAATAAAGTTTCCACGTAAAAATAATTCAAATGTTACCGTAAAAAAATAATAACAGAAAGAGACAAGAATACAATCTACGAGTACAATCAAATCAACTTACAATCAAATCAAATAAAATTACAATTAAGAGAAAATAATAATGAACATTAATATAAATAATGTAATTAAAAATATTTAGAATAGATTTCATAAATAAAGTTACATCAATTTGTGGCAAGTAATTAATTCGATATACATATACAATTTTAATTTCCAAAAAATAATATTAAGTATTTATTAATAAAAATTTTCATATCGTCTGCGTACAACAGAATACAAGAATTTTTAATTATACCAATGACATCATTTACATATATATAAATTAAAAAGCAAGGGACCAAGGTTTCATATGATATTTAATAATTAAATAATTCAAAGACTTGTCTCATGCGTACTCTTAGGGTATAGTGACTAACAGAGTCTTTACCCATAGCTAAACATTTAATTAACAATTGTCGCACTTAAAAACTCCAAATCCTAGATAATCATTACACTCGTGGTGCCACCAAGCTTCACATATGCTACATTGGATCCAGTCTTCGTTCGGAGGTTCTATGTGGACTTCAAGACAAAGGGGACATCGAATAATTTCTGAACCTGTACTTGTAACCATTAATGTTGGTCTATTAGATGTAGAAGATTTCTTTTTTTCACTGTCGTCTTTGTCTTCTTGGCCTTTTCTTCTTTCTCTTTTTGTTCTGCTTCTAATTGGTTTTTGTAAGGAGAGCTGGTAAGAATTTTTGATTTCTTACGTCTTATGTTTCTTTTTTTCTGAATATTTGCTTTTGGAAATGGTAAGATGTCCGCAATGTCATTTATGCAAAATGAGCTAGCACTACTGATACCACGACTTGCTCCATGCTTGCATTTGCATGAGTGATGATATTAATCTACCGGCGTACGCGGCGTAGCTTTCTCCTTCATTAGGTCGGCTGGTGTTCAAATGTATAAGGGTAGCTGGAATAGTCTCCGTCGGCACGAACCTCTCACAAAAAAGCTCCTTGAACTGTGGCCAAGTGATTCCGGATCAAACTCCGGCAGGGTCACATTATTCCTGGGTCCCGGCACGTTCAAGGCGTGTATCAGTGAACGCATTTGTTCGTTTTGCATTTCGCCACATCAGTCGTCATTGTGTACTCTCCAAGTTATCGCCACTTGACTTCTCTTTTACTCGTTTTGATCCCACTTCTGATGTCGGAGATAGGGAATCGTTAGACACATTGTAATCCTGTAGGCGTATCGTTTGGGTGAACGAGTAATATAAGAAATTAAATCACTTTGTTTTAGGGTACTTTAATAATTACTTTACACTATATTTAAGTTACAATGAATCACTACGCATACGAAACGAGTAACAGGATTGTAGAGGAGTTGCCTAAGTTTGCTGTCTATACTCATGACCGTCTCCGACATATATATACGATATACTTAACCCTTGGGTGTTGAATTTAAAGTAGTATTATTTTTATAATATAATATATAAGATTTACTATAATATATGTATATATACTATATTTTGAATATACTTATTACTCAATATTTGAATTTTAAAACAATTTTTAAGGCGGGTGTCAAACAGAGGCTAATTTCTAAATATTCCTAATTTATTTATTAGGTACCGGTTAAAAGTTAATTAAATTAAAGGTTAATTTAGTAACGCTCAGATAGGTATAATATGAAACAATAAATCCAATTAAATCCGAAGTAATAAAGTATGATTACAATTCTTTTAAAATAATATTTATAGTATGCAATATGATTTTTATGTTAATTTGCTCCCAGTGTACGGCCGGCTTAAGCTCCGTCCCTTCTCGTTTAGATGCTGTAGGTTTTTTTTTCAAGCAGCTCCCTCTGACGTGGTCAGAGACTTAGTTTAAATAGTTTAGACCGGGCGCTAGAGGTAAGTGAGTATGCAAAATGTGAATACCAAATTTCGCCAACGGATTTAAGTGAGGAAAAGGTCAAAGAATAATAATGCCGGTAAATTTTTTGGTCCATTTTTTTTACCCCCTCTTCTCTTATTTATAAAGGGAATGTATTTAGTACATGATATAAAATCGCTTTAATGATTATTTTCGTAATAATTTATAGTATTTTCTCGTGTTATAAGTGAAGATGGATTCTTAAATAATAAAACAAAAATTACAGTAATAATTTTTTTTTATTCATAATAAAATGAAAGTTATATTAAAACTAGCTAATTAAAGCATAAATGTAGTTAAAGTAGGTAAAAAATTATCATTTTTATTTTCGCATTTGTTATTGATGCATTTACATTATGAAATATAAAACAATTCCGATTTTTTGCAATTACAAGACATTGTGCGACAATTTGAAGTACATTTACATGGTGGAATTAATGACTCTGGTAATGACGGCTTCGTCATTTGTCGTGGACGTAAGTCACCGTTGAGCTTTTAATAACCAAATGAACAATAATCAATGGGTGGTAATTGTGTTTGATGTGCATTTTTCCATATAAATGTTTGTACTGTAGCCCTTAATAAATGCAAAGCATCTGAAGTGCATATCACATGAGTTAGGACCGGGCCCGTACTCCCACGATATCTGCTCCGCAGCGTAAGGCGGGTGTGACACTAGGCTATTTCTAAATAGGTCAATTAGTCAGTTAGGTTAAAAGGATCTTAGCGTCCCAATAGGGGACGGTCAGACACACACACACACAGACCTAAATAATTTAAAATATTATAACTAAAATGACGATCACAGTTTGTATATATTTCAAATTCTAGTTAAAATGACCCAAATATAATAATAAAAAATATTTCAATAAATAAAATCTGCCCAAATCTGAGATTTAAATAAGTTAAAATGTATTAAATATGTTAAAATGTAAAAATTGTTAAAATAATATAATATAATTAATAATAGAATGAGATAAAATGAAATAATAATTAATATTTTTTTTAAAAGGCCAAATCCAACAACAATAACAGTCTCAATATTTAAAAATCAAGGTCAATAATAAATAGAATCACAATAATTGACTAAAAAGCTAGTGTCCCCAATAGGGGGGACCGTCACTACATAAAAACGCTAAAATACTTAAAACTAAAAGGTCAACTATGTACTTTAAACCGGGAGTTTTAAGTCCGGAAACAAAGTGTTTAATTCTTATATCTCCTGATTCCTGCGTCCCAGGAAGACGGGAGAGGGATCGGGGTGATCAGGAGATCAGCCCCTATCCCCTCACAACTTTTTAGGAAAATCGGAAAAACTTTTTCCGCACTTTTCTCCGGACTCTTCACTCCCGGTTTTTCCCAAAGTTTAAGAAAATTTTGGATTGTGGGTACTCCACCCGTTCGAGACCCGTGGGATCTATCCACAGACCAAGTCTCAGGGAGATCAGACCACGGGAACTATTTTATTTTCGGGGGTGAAGTTTAGCGACGTAATTTGAAATCGAAAATGGGTGTCTTAATCCTTTAATATTTTTAAAAAATTTTGATGCCGAAAGATGAAGAAGGTCTAAAAAATGATGCCGAAAGTGGTTTGGTCAGGCTCCGACACCTGGAGCCTGTCAAATTTGGGTTACAAGTTAATTGTGTAGTTGACCTTTGATCCACTTAATTTTTAAAAATTAATTAAAAATAATTCTATGCTCCGCGCGAAGCCGTTGTTTATGTTAAATTAAAGAGGGAGACTTGCCCTTCCAGAATATATAATTAAATTGTGTGGTCACTTATTTGGATTTAAAGTTTTGGGGGTCCGAAGTTAGGGACGCTCCTCGACCATCCGCACGACAACTTATTTGCGTTATAGCTCCTCACCAGGAGGTCGCAGGGTGATGCTCGAAGTGTCTGCGGACTCGGGAGAAGGCCCCCTATCGAACTGTACTAGTTCCAACACCCGGACGCACCCGGATCACCGACCACGTTCCACGTGGTTTTTGCTTACCACACTTGTATCTCTGGAACCCGTGATCGGAAAAATCCAGAATTTTGGTGGGACGTAGTTCTCGATGACACACACAGAACAGCACTTAAAAACTGGGGGGTCACCGCTTTAGTTTCCGCGCCACACGCACTTAAAGTTTTGTTCACCTCCGAATTTCAGGTTTTTCACAAATAACTTTTCGAGATTTCGTCCGATTTCCACGCGAGTGGCACCGTTGGATTCGGGACACAAAGACGCACACTTTGACGTATAACTCACTATTGTGACACTATTTTTTCCTCACTTGGCGATTTTTCAAGTATTTTATATCCACTATTTATACTACATATATTCCGTTTAAAAATTTTAATTTTGTTTTTAAAACTTTCCCGTGTGGCACAGCCCTGCGCGCACGTTCGTTGTCAATACGTCAAGTGGCGAGTTACGCCGGTCTGTCTTTAAAAATTCATAGAAAATTTATTTATAGGCCGATTTCCCTGAAATTTTGCTGTGATATAGTCAGTTATATTTGTCGTCGAATGATGATTTTTAATCAATATGTTCTCGATTTACTTTTTGAGTTATAGCCGTTCAAAGTTGAGTCTGTCCCTAGTTACATAAATTTTTGCTAAAATAATACTTAAAATTACCTTAATTTTAGAATTTAAACTTTACTATGGTCCTTATGACACCTTTCTATAGTTCTGTTTATTTTTCGAGACACAAGATTCACCCACTTTTTTTATAAATCGCCTAAAACACTTGTCACTTCAGTTTTTTCCTTTAAATTGTTCTAACTTTTTTATTTTCCGTCCGATTTTGAAAATTTTTTTCACAATTCACTTCGTTATTTTAGCGCGCAACTATTTGATATCACTTTTGTAATTTTAACACGACTTTTGCGGTTTTTATTAATTTTCTTGAGAGCGTTCAGACCACCTGGGGACGCGTGCGTCTTGATGAAGTTTTTTCCTAATTATAGTCTGTAAAATTTGTCGTCCAATTATGATTTTTAATTTGTAGGTCGTCGATCTACTTACCGAGATATTCCGGTCCAAAGTTAGGTCACTTCAATTTTTGTCTGTTTTAGTCAATTTTGTCATTAAAATTACTTAAATTTAAAACTAAAACACTACACTATGGTCCCTATTACAGCCGTCTATAATTCAGTTTATTTTTCAGGATACAGGCTTCACCCACTTTTCCACAAATCACCTAGAACGCTAGTCTCTTTAGGTTTTCACTTTAAATTGTTCTATCTTTTTAATTTAAGGTCCGATTTTCAAGATTTTTGCACAGTTCACTTTATTATTTCAGCGCGCAACTTTTGATGTAACTTTTGTATTTTTAACGTCACTTTTGCGGTTTTTATTGATTTTATAAACTTTGCGGCGTCGGAGAGCGTTTCTTTTTTTTTTTTTTTTTTTTTTTCTCTGGTCCCTCAGACGTGGTCCGAGCCCTTGTTTGCTAATTCATTTCTCATCCATACCAGTTCTTTCCTCATACATTGTCTTTCTCTCATTCCATTTAGTTGTGTACCTACTGTCTTATTTCTATATATTATCTTATTTCTAGGATAGGGGGGTTTTCCGCAGAGCTTTTATTTCGCTAGGATTTACATCATTTCATAACATCTTTCTTTTACATTACTACTTGCTAATTATTTACTTATTTACTAATTTACATTTGTCTCTATTTTTGCAGTTTACAGTTATTTTGTTTATAACAATTTACATTTTACTTTTAACATTCACTTGACAATTATTTTAACATTTATTACACATCTAATTTTTCCTATTTATACATTTAACTATAACAATTACTTAAACATTTTACAAATATTTATTTAGAGTGTTTAATTTTTATTGACTAAGCTATCCGAATATATTGTTATTAGGAATACACTAAAATGTGTTCACGTCGTTATATTTTGTCGTTACTTTATAAAAAGAAAAGAAAAGAAAAAGCATACGAAAAGAATTCTTTCTATGTCCAAAATACTATAGTCAATTTATTTTAATATATCCAGATTTCACCCGTGCGGCACAGCCCTACGTGCTCGGAAGTCGTAAACAACTATGGTTTATACACTCTTTAGTTTCAAAAATTTTTAAAAAATATATGCGGGCCCCGCGCGATGTCAATCTTGGTGTTAAAGTGTAGGGGAAGAATTACCCTTCCCGAATATAAAATAAAATTATGTTGTAACCGATTTCGTTTTCGATTTATGGGGGTCCAAAGTTGGGGGTGCTTCTCGACCTTCCGCACGACGACTTGTTTCTGTTCTGGATCCTCACTGGGAGGTCGTGGGGAGGTGTGCGAGGTGTCGTTGGATTCGGGAGAAGGCCCCCTATCAAACTGTACTAGTTCCAACACCCGGACGCACCCGTCCCGTCACCCGGACGCGCCTGGATCCCTGACCACGTGCCACGTGGTTTTTGTTTTTCGGTCCTATAACTGTGGAACCCGTGGCCAGAAAAATCCCAAATTTTGCTGGGATGTAGCCCTCGGTGACACGAACTCACTGACACTATAAAACGGGGGGGTCACCGCTTTTAATCTCGCGCCGCACGCACTTAAAGTTTTATTAGTCTCTGAAAGTCCGGTTTTTCACTAATAAATGTTTCAATTTTAACCCGATTTCCACCCGGTTTTCACCGTCGGCTTCAGGACGCCGAGACGAACAAATTGGTATATCACACACTGTTTTAGCACTTTTAAAACCTCACTCGGCGATTTTTCGATGCGGAGAGCGTTCAGAGCGACGGGGGACGCGTGCGTGCGCTTCGGAGCGTGAAATGCAACTCGGATGCTGTAGGTTAGGCAGGTATTGATGAAGCCACCTAGTCCAGGATATGTGGGCGAGCCGCTACGACGTCCCGGGTGTTGGTACGCGGGCAGGACCCTGTAGTAGGAAATGGTTTTGTGTAATCGCCTTTGGATCTGCAGGGTCCACAGATTCGTGTGTGAGAGGTCGAGATCGTCGAGCGATCATACGTCGTTAAGAACAAAAACAGCTGTATGTACTGCCTCAGCCCATAGTTCGGGCAGCTTCCACTAATGTTCTGTTGTCCCTTTCTGCTTTACCATTTTGCTCCGGGGGTGTAAGGTACAGACCGTTGCTATGTTATCCCACGACCCGAGAATATTTCCTTCACATTGTTGTTTATGATTTCAAAACCGTTTTCAGTTCTGAACAAAATAACCTTGTTTCCTGTAATGTTTTCCGCCTTGTTAAGGAAATCCTCAATACATTTTATTGTTTCATTTTGAAAAATCGTCCTTCATCAAAGCAAAATACTTTGATCCGCCTAGCGATGCCTCTTTCATAGGGCCGCACACGTCAGCGTGTGTTAGCTCGCATGTCCTCGTGCTAGTGTATTCACTACTTTTGCAAGGTAAGCGGTGAATATTTCCTTGTAAACAAAAAAGAATTTTATAAACCTTTTTATTATTTGGGCATTGATTCTTGTAGTGACCCGTTTGTTTAGACCGGTAACATTTGACATGACTTTTGACACCAAAACTGACACTGAGGTTTGACTTAGCCTGACTTTGCTCACCGGCTGACGCTTTTTTTATTTTTAGCTTTCAGAATATGAAACTGAAATATTAAAATGATTTGTAGAATTTTAAATTGTTTGAGGGCCATCATCAAAATCCTCATTTTCAGATAAATCAGGCGGACTAGACCTAAAATCTGATTTTAGAGGCTATTTATTTTTCGCTAAATATTGTCGTTTGGCTTGGAGTTCCTGTCTCCGCTGAGTTATAATAAGCGGCGTAGCTAGCATAGGTACGGGGCGGATTTAGATGATGTAGGAGGCGGATGTAGATGTCACCCAAAACCCCAATCACAATGTATAAAATAAAAAGTAATAATCATTTACGTTTTATTAAAATAAGAGTTACTCTGAAATGGTATTTTTCCTATTCGATATCTGAGCGTAAAAACTGACTTTATACACAGAATTAAAAACAGCGCGTCGTGTGCATTACGTATGTGATTTCAAAATCAAAACATCAATGAAATTTCATCTCCATGGAGTATTTATTATTCATATTTTTTGAAATTAATGAAATGAACTCTGAACCTCCTAGTTGGTATATTTTTGTTTTCAATTTGCTTTGCGTACGCCAGTTTATTTTGACATCGTATTGTCATCGTATGGTCGTCGTCATAGATTTAGTATATCCTCCTAAGACCCAGATAAAATATCAAACAGTAGTCATTAAGTCCCACTGCACAAAATTTTGTACAAATTAAATACTGGCCTTCAGTCCCAGACAAAGTTTTTGTTGTATTTTTTTGTGTACAAGAATTTGAGTTTTCTTGATGTTTTGTTCAACTTATATATGTACCTTTGAATGTAATGGCAAAGGTTTAGGGCTCAAAAAATTGCACATAAATAATAAAAACAATATTTTTGAATAATTATTTATTAAAAATATGCAAATTCAAAACTGAAACTTAACTAAAATTAGCCTTTCAAGAACAATCACAAAAAAGGAACTTATATCAACAATACTTCCTAATTAACAGCTTTTTATTGGTAAAAAACACAATGATGATCAGCATTTTCTTTACTTAGAGGTAACGAATTTCTCTTAAATCTAATGCAAATCTTTATAGTCTTGCAGCTACAGGTTTATAACATTCATAATGTCCAAAAATAATTAATTCAATATAAAATAAACAAAAAACAAAACGTATTTCTTCTTTTTTTAACTTAAAAATAATATAAAATCTGTGGGGTTTAATCAATTACAAAAATATCATTCGTGGAAAGCCTTAAAACAATTGCGACTAGAAGCAAATAATCTAGATAATTGATTTTTCCACTTCTGTATTTCCGCATCCATTAATTGCAAGGTTGCATCATCTATTGTGGTGTGGGATTTTAATCTCATTTCCAAAGTTTTCCACTTTTCGAAATTTTCTAAATGTTTTTCTTATTTATTTAATTCCAAAAAGAGTGCGTGTAACATGATTTTACATTTAAAGGTGTTAACATAAACTCATTCAAGTTTTACCGAACACCAGTGTCGTCAATTTTACATTTTACAATTATATAACTAATGCATTACACTAAAATAACTAAAGAAACAAACAAAACAAATAAGATAAAATAAAACAAAAATAAATGAAGTTTCATGGTCCAATACTTTAGGATTTTATTTATTTATTTATAATAAGCACACTAACAACATACATATTAAAAGTTTTCAGTATAGAAGGTGACTAGGGGAGAGTGGGGTAATTGCGACCACTTAAGGGAGAATTGAAATAGAACAAAACCATACCAAGTTACGAATACTATTTATTGCCAAAAGTTTACTTAAACTAATCAATCTTCTGTTCTCATACTTAACGTAGATATATTTTCAAAATAAAATCAACTAGTATGAAAAAAACAAAACCCTTGTATCCGGGATTACCCCACAGCACGTGGTTTAAGTACGGACACAGTGTGGGGTAATAATATTAATAATAATAATAATTTATTTCAGATCTTAATCCATATTGTGTTAGTAAAAATTAAACTTAATAAACTAGTTGGTTAGTAAAGTTACAAACATATATTTTACTTGACTACATGGAGTCGTATCCAATGTGCCAAAATTGGTGAATCCCAGAATAACGAACGTGGTCTAACTCCTACAAAAATCACTGAGAAAACCCTTTGAAGTGCTTTCACCACTTGTGCAGTTTTCGTGGGCCCACAACCTACATTTGTGACATTCAGTCCAGTCTTCACCTGGAGAATCTTCATACTTTTCGGCACAAATCAGACAATAATACTCTTTCTCCGTCGTAGCTCCTCTATCGACTTTCTTCTTTTTGCGTGGTACATTCCTCTTTTGCTTCTCAATTTCATAATTCTCATCTGCAAATGCTCTAAGACTTTTCACTCCTTTTTTTCCTTTATTTATATTTGTTTCTGTGAAAGATGCTTTAATCTTTGAACCAGACGAAATACAGTAGGGAACGGTCCTTGTCTGTTCTGGAAATGGTCACTGCCCTTTTTTATTGGGAACCGGTAAATTGATTGTGAAACATCCCTCAAGTGTTTCACTGATTCTTCGAAGCTAATGCTGTCTCCAAAAATAGCATTAACGGTGTCATTTTCATTATTTGATTTGGTTCCGTCCAGGATATGAGCTGTCTTCAATGATTCCGTATTGTCGCTGTTGCTATCTGAATGTGAGTCTTCAAGATGTGAATCATTACTTTCGTCAGCAGGAGACTCGGGTACATTACTTGAACTTTGGCCACTATCTGCCTTTGTGACAGATTTGAAAAGAGATCCAGACACGCTCTGAATTTGATCCATTTTAGCCTTTTTGGCTTTTCTCTGTTGAAACCCGCTTTGTCTTTTCGAAGTATGAATTCTCCGAGGCATATTTCGTTCTGGATATCCTAAACAATATTTTTTTTTTGCAAGTGATACGTTGATTTTATGAACAAATTGTAACGGTAAATAAACGCCTACACGTTACGTAACCAGCTTTGTGAAATACATATATATTTATATAAATTAATAATCCTGCATCTGGGTGTAAATATGTATTTAAGTAGATTTTTTTAGAAAATAATAGTTAAATACTCCACCATTAATTGTGGTATCCGTACCACGAATGCTCGAGCTACTCATCTATGTATGATATGATATAATTATGATTACCTACTCTTAATCATTAATCTAAACTTAATATAATCCATTTGGATCAGAAAATAATAATAACTGAGTATATTATTTACCTACTATTAAACATTATTACCTAAAATATTACCGTAAAACTTGTAGATCAAAATAATCTAAGATTCCTACTGCTACTAGATACTAAAAGAATTAACCCTAGAAGCCCAATCATATTTTTAAGGTTATAAATCCCAATCATAGGTAGAAAGTACGTATAAAAATGATATTTCTGTATTTTATTATTTCGTTCGGATAATCAATAACTTTTAATTTATATAAATAAAATAAATATTAATGAAATAAAAAAAAAACATATTGTACATTTTATATAATTTTTATTTACTCTTCTGTAATGTTTGAATTGAAAGATAATGAAATTTAACAAAAACATGAGATACTCTTAGGTTTTATGTTATCATTAATTTTGTTTAATAATAATCAACAATATTCAAATTGTTATCAATAACTAAATCAACTCTTAAGATTATAAAATACTTACTTACTTACTTACTGCAAATATCTACATTGTGTTCTCCACATATTCCTTCTTTTGCATTTGGAGCAGTGTGTTTTGGTCATTCTACCTTTTTCATAGGAGCAAATCATAATATCGGCGTTTCTTTGGTTCAGGCTCATCACAGGACGTTTCTGTAGTTGTCTCAGGCACCGTTTTTAGTATATTTGTTATATTATCACGTACACTTGTTATATGATAATAAGTACACTATTTTTGACGGCTTGGGCTTATAGGGAGTGTTGGAGGCCCATCAAAACAAAATATCGAAGAACCAACCGGGCGCGCACGAGAATTCTTGAGTTCTTCTGGAATTTCTCTCTTATTTGACCTGATGGTTCCAACTAATGTCAGGTTGAATGAAGTCTTGAGCAAACTCTTAGCTAATGGGACAGATGTGAACCAATTGTCACAAGTAATATTTCTGTTTGTTCCATGAACTGTTTTAGCCAACTCTTTCACGTAAAACTCACCTAATAGCACACCAGTTGTCTTTGTGCATTTATTTATTTATTAAGGCAAACACAACAGGTCACAATCATATACAGAATATTTCTTAAACATTAATAGTATCGAACAGATTATGACCCTAAGGGTGCATGAACAACATGACAGGATTGCCAATTATTATTATACAGGAGATAACTATATATTAGTACTAAACAAAAAAAAAGACAAAAATTAAATTACACGAATTAAATTTACAAGAAGAAAAATAAATGGTATAATAAACAATTTTTGTTTGAAGTTACAAAAAAAAAACAAACGAAATATAAATTGATAATAATTACAGTTTTTTAAATTTACAAGATTGCATTTTTAAGATAGACATTTTTTTACAGTTTTTACGAAGATCGCTTGATTTGTGTTAAAAATATCAATTTCATGATTATTATTATTAGTTATTTCATTTACCAAGGTTAGGTATGGCATCTACCATGTACTTTGAGGAAGCGTCACATATCATTGGGAATTTTATTCCATATTTATCCGGTTTATTGGGTATATACATACGGAATGGACAACGGAATTTGGTCTCAATTAACGATTTCCTCAATGATCTCGTTTTTTATAAAAAGTTGGAAGCAGTGCAAAGGATTGACAATATTTCTACACATTCGTGTTGGGCCTCTACTTGAACGTACAATATTTATTGCAGAAACCCTGCCCGTGGACCATCCTCTTGTTGTTGACCATATGTGGTTGTTTTTTCCACGAATTGAACGCTGAGGCAGTACAATGATTCTTTGTGAACTCAATTATGTGACCTGGATATTAGCCGATTCCGAAGAAGAGTGAGGGTTCTCGGGGCTTTCTTCTCTATTTATTATCCGTATTTGAATTTTCTTGGCAGTCCACCATCTCGTCTTCAAAGTCACTCCTGACATCGTCTTGTGTAAGACAATCTTCCTGCTCATGTTCAGAGTCAGTATCGTTGGGACAATAATGGCTGGCTTGGCTGGACTCTGCTTATGGCATGGCGTTACAATTATTCCTCCAGAGGCCATAATGTGATAACAGACTCATTTTGTCAGAATTATCTGAGATACATCCCGTAGTAGTAAGCCTTTCTGCAGTCCCCTTTCAATAATTTGTTTAATTTTGCTGTCTGCATTTATGTGTTTGTATCTCCTTGAGTAACGGTTCTTCAATTACTAGGTCTTTCAGTTTTGATATCATATAGAGCACTAATGGTATGGTATTGCTACTAGAACAATATTTATTGAAAGACCCTTCTTTAGTCGCTATTTCCATTGGGTGTAAAATGTTAAGAAGGGATGCTAATATTATTAACTCCATAAGGGTTGACATCAGTGGTGCTGTTTTGTGACAAATTTTCTTGCTTCGTCTATTAATTTGCTGTCACCGAACTTCATTAAAGTTTGCTGGTACTCTTCAAATTTCTTTAGTATGTTGTATGGTTTTAGTTTTCCTTTCTTGAAGAACACAGGATTATAATCGCTACCAGTGATTGCGTGGAACCCGGGTAAACTTCGACACATTGATGCTCAAACCTCTGCGTAGATCTTTGTTAGGTTCACATATCACAAGTAATTTCCAGTTCCTGTCAATAAGACTGGTCTGCAAAAAAAAAAAATAAAAATTTTGTCTCCTTTACTAATTCCTAATTCGTCAGCTGTTTTCGAAACACTCTTTTTTTTCGGGAGTCTCAATAGGTAATAGTGAAGAAGCTTTTTCCTCAAATAAGTGTTTGTATACGTTTTGTATCATAAGTTTTTCGGTAACGCTTAAAGCTACTCGTGGTCTCTTCTTTCTTGGAGACAAGATTTGGCTTGACGGGCTTGGTTGAGGTTCCATATCGTTGGTACTAAACAATATAACAATAGGTATAGCAACAAACAAACACAACATAACGAAAAACTAAACAAAAAAATAATTAAAAATTTATTTATTTTTGTACCAACAAAGTATATACTAAATTATTAATAATATATGTGTACACGGGATATCTTATCTCTATCAAGAGATCTCTTCCAGAAATTCTGAATAAAGTGGAGACCATTTGCAATACAAATTTATAGTGTAGGTACAATATCAACAAACTACTTATTATTATAAAATTTAAGTGGACTTTTTTTTTAAATAAATACAAATAAATATACTAACACATATCTTTATCCATAACATACATACATTAAATTTAAAATCGTGAGCGCAGAACAAATTCATACTCAGACCAGAGGTTAGAAGTAGAAGCTCTCAAAAAACTGACTGTAGTTATGTAACTATGTATGTAGTATGTACTACTAGTAACTTGTATCAGAGCCCTTATATACAATTTTATTGTAAAATATAAATAATATTCTTAACCATATTCAAATACATAACTATTTACATTCATTATTCATTACTATTCATTCATCGGATTGAACGAAAACTCAACGCATCACTATTACTTTAAATATGGCAACATTATTTAACAAAGTGACATTAGCTATTGTCAGTTGGGTTCGTCTAATAAAAAATAGGACTTTAAGTGAAAGTGCTGCCCAAATTATTTCATCATCATCATCATTTAGCCTATTGCAGTCCACTGCTGGACATGGGCCTCTCCCAACACGCGCCATAACACTCGGTCCTCTGCCTTCCGCATCCAGTGAGACCCAGCGACCTTTTTAAGGTCATCGGTCCACCTAGCTGGGGGGAATCCTACTCTACGTTTGCCGAGACGCGGTCTCCACTCAAGGACACGCTTGCTCCACCGTGCGTCGGTCTTTCTGCAGATGTGACCAGCCCACTGCCACTTCAGCTGGCTTATTCTACGAGCTATGTCGGTAACCTTGGTTTTTCGTCGGATTTCTTAGTTTCGAAGTTTGTCCTTCAAAGAAACGCCGAGCATAGCTCGTTCCATAGCTCGCTGAGCGACTTTGAGTTTGTGGACTAGTCCTACAGTGAGTGTCCACGTCCCAGCCCCGTAGGTCATAACCGGTAGGACGCATTGGTCGAAGACTTTGGTCTTCAGGCATTGCGGTAAAGGCGAGTAGAAAACCCGACGTAGTTTGCCAAACATTCAAATTATTTCTAATATTACATATTGCTCTTACGCAGTTTCGCACGAGCAGAGCTACGTTATGAGTTTTTGGACTCCACCAGAAGTCCCTTTCATGATGTTAGCTCCATCGTACCCTTGTCCACGTCACTTATTGAAAGAAATACTTTTGTCATTTATACATTGTATTATCTGCTTGGACATTCTTAAGGCTTATTGCTTAGCCACATGAAATCCTAAAAATGACTCTTTAATCACGGGAGCTGGTGGAGTTCCTTTTTCATCTCTCTCGATTACACAGCAAAGGTAAAGTTAACATAATTGATCCGTCTTGGAAATATGTTACTCTATTTATTTACCTCTTTTTGAACCATAACAGAAATGAGCTCATTTTGTATTTTTGGACTTTAATTTAATCTAGTCCGTAAATTTGCTTAGCTGCTCTTGTATGTGATGTGAGGCGCAGATAAAATATAATAACATTAATTTATAATAATAAAATTAATAAAAATAAAAATCTTTTATTTTCAAACAATATAGGCTCATAGTTGGTTAGTACACAATATAATTACTTTGAAATTTATATATATATATATATATATATATATATATATATATATATATATATATATATATATATATTAAGGATTCTAATAAAATCCATATAAAAATATAGTTTCCTTATAAAGCCAGTACTTTTAAATAACAATAAAACCTTAACTAGAGCAAACTAATTATTATCTTAAGCCAAAACACCTTAAATTACTTAAATTCTATTTACAATAATACAAGTCGTCTTCACAACATGCTTTCGCGCGTTAAAAGAGAACAAGTCAAGCGTCATAGCTTTAATATCGCTTCGGATGCGTTCGGGAATTTAAAGGTTCGGATCAAATAAAAAGTGTGTTTCCTAAATATATAATAAAAACAATGAATAAATACGTACCACAGTGAGATTGACCCGGCCCCACTTTTTACATGTACCCTGATAAAACCTCCCCATGGTCGGCCCATTAGTCTTGAACATTTTAGTTCCGGGAGAGATCAATTTGGTTCGCAGTAGTAAATTACTTACTATTTCAGTATATTAATAAAATATAGTGGATCAATATTGCAAATGGATTCGTTTATTAGTTGATTGCAGAAAATTATATTAGCTGTATTCATATTACGAATGTGTTTATTTATGATAGATAATGAATAAATAAAAATATATTATTTTGCAAATAATCAACGTTTTAATATTCATTAAGTTTTCATTGAGTTTTTATTTTTAGAGACAATGTTATACATACTTTGGTTCAGTATTAGCTATTTATCATGTTTTTGTTATTTTCAAAGATTTAACATTTTACGAACAAAAAATAATATCTAACTATATTTTTAAGAGAAATAACATAAATATAATATTTCAGTACCTATCAATTAGGCATAGAAAAAAAAATCTCGAGTGAGATCATAAACTACAAGTACAAGTACTTTTTAACTTAGGTATTATTAGTAAATCAGTCATCATTAACATTAATCAGTCTTCTAATTATCAAGTCACTTATTACAATTTACATATTATTATGTGAAAATATTAATTTGGACACTTTACTTGTGGATAATAATGTTCTTCTTTCGTTTAAAATTTGTCCTGTTTTTTGTTCTATTTCGATATCTTTGTCATCTTTTAAATTATAAGTAACAATATGTCTCAGATATTTAAATTCATTTACTATTTTTATAATTTTCTCACTGAGTCGTACAGAAGGTACACATGTTGTTGGTCTTTTATTTTTTCCTATAAATACCAATAATTCACTTTTCTTTGGATTGTATCTTAGGCCATGCTGCTCAGCATATTCTTCATAGACTGATATTAACTTCCTAAGTCCACATATTGAGGGGCTCAGCAGCACCATGTCATTTGCATAACTTAAGTTGTTTACACATAAGTTTAACGAGTAATTCATTCATGTAAATATTGAAAAGCCTCGGGGAAACAAGACCTCCTTGCCTCACCCCACACTCGAGCTTATATGGCTGAGACAATGCATATGACCATTGAACAAAATTTCTCTGTTTATTATACCAGACGGACAGTATAGATAGATATAAGAGAAGCAGGAACGCCGCTCCCCCGAAGCTTCTCCCACAGGATATTATAGGAAACCAAGTCAAAAGCTTTTGACAGGTCAAGGAAACAAGCATACACTGGTGTTTTCCTATCTGTATAATACTTGACCGAGTGCTTCAGCGCGAAAATGTCACTCTCAGTTGACAACCCAATAATGATTGTCAACTTTTATTTATTCTGATTTTCATGCAAACAATGAAATCGATTGAATATATAGCTAGAATATTACTACATTGACACTTTTCTAGCTTTAACACTTGCAAACTTTTTTATCAAATCGGAATAATTTAACCTTTGGGCAATAGCAACTTTCTATGGACAAAATTGAAAGATCGTACAGTCTTTCCTGACACACAGTAGACCGTAGGTAGGTTTTTATAAATTTTAATTTACTGAAGCTTCGTTCTCCTTTGGCAAGAGTTAGGGATGTCGGAAATGCAATAAAGTATCGATATATATTGTATCGATAATTTTTGAATATATCAATATCGATATTGATATTTTTATTTAAAAATACTAATCAATAAACATCATTTTTAATTTTTTTAAATCAAGGACAACAATAAAAAATATTAATTATTTATTAATAAAAACCAATATTTATCTGATACAGACATAAGAAAAACTCTTTGATTTACATGCTCAGCTGTAAGCTTCTGTTATTGGGTACTGCGAGAATTAGAGCTATGTCGGAAAGGACTGGAGTAAAATGACGACAATCAAAACGGAATTTTGTAGGATTCTCTTTTCTGGGTATTATAGGCTGATCTAGATATCGTCGGGGCTAATAGCGCGTAACTGATGCTTGACAAATTTTACAGGAGAGCTAAAAAATTGAATATATAATTATCGTTATTACATCTTCGGCTGATTGAATTAGAAACTAATTGTAAATTGATGTAATTTAGCTATCAATATGATCCATTAGTAAGAAAACCTCATAGACGATTAATAAATTCACTTTCGCGGTAAATGAATTGTTGTTGAGCATTTTCACTATTTACGCTAAGCAAGAGGGATAAAATAAAAGATTGGGTATTCAAAAATATTATTTTTATGCGTCTTTGAACACGATATCAGACTCATATATTTCAAAATAAGTAAAAATATTATTAACTTTAGATGTAAGCAGTTTTAAACTGATTACAATAACTATAGAAACATCAAAAACATAAAATAAACATTTAGAAACAAAAAGTGTACCTACTAAATAAGTAACTCAATAACTAGATACATAGAAGACAACAAAAACATAATTCTAAAAAAGTTTAGAAAAATATAAGTTCTACATACTACGTAGTAGTAGTGAGTAATGAGATCTTACATTTGGAAATACTCTTATTTAAAAAACATCTAACGAAGTTTTGGTAATAATTAAGTACATACTTAAACTAATGAGATCTTAAATCTTGATATAGGAACCTATTTTTTTAGAGGGTAAATCATAGTAAAATTATGGCAATCACGATCAATAACAGTCTTTAATTGGTGCAAATGCTCATATTTACTTTCCAGTATAGGCAATCTAGACTCATAAAGCCTTGGTACGTTGCTTATCAATGTAGAAATATTCAAATGGTCTTCGAGGTAGTGGAGTAAATTCACTTTCGAAGTGCTTTTTAAACTCGATAGTCCCATTAGGATTATATTTCAAAACTCGCAAGTCCACAACACAATCATCGCCAGAAACACGCCCAGGGCGTATAGAGTCGTAAACTTGGTACTCTTTAACACTCTAGTCTTTGAAGAAGGTATGATCGGGTTGTTCGACTTTGTAAGGAAAAGGATTCTTTCGAGCAACTTTAGTAATAGTTGCATATTGCGATGGCAGGAAAATCTCGACATTTTTGAGTTTTCTCTCTATAAGTGAATGTATCGAATCCACCTCCATTTGGGTGTGGCCCTTCTCCAGATAGTTCTGTGTAATGGTAACTTTCTTATCCATCGCTGATCTCAGGAGAGCGTAAGAAACAATACTGTTCCTATTCTGCGCAGTACAACCATCCGTCCATATAATTAAATCCTTAAGATTATCTTGTAACAATTTCGTTATATAATCTACAAAGAACGACGCATATGTGGTAGCTTTCAGGTCACAGGCGGTCGAACCATTTATTTTATTTTATTTATATTTGGGAAACATACAGTGAATTATTACATAAAATTAAATAATTATTTCTAGATCAAAAACCAATAAAATTCCCACTTAAAAATAATTCAAATCTTACAGTAAAAAAATAATAACAGAAAAAGACAAGAATACTACATACTAGACTAGAATTAATTCGATATAAAATTTTAATTTCCAAAAAATTATATTAATTATTTATTAAGAAAATATTCTATTAACATTTTTCTGATCTTATTAACTTTCTCCGTTGTAAAAAAATCAATTTCGATAAATCGTTTATTGTAATCGGTGCAGGCTCTGTATATAAGTATATTTTGGGCATACTTGCTTCGGGTGAGTGACGGATTAAAATTTTCGCTCCATTATCTTATCCTTGACCTCTACAATCATTCATGTCTAAGACAAATTCTTGCACGATCGTATCATGAAAAAGGCCAGTAAGTCCGGCTCCGGAAGAGTCACTTATTGGTTTGTAAGCAACAAAACATTCTCGTACTTCGACTTAATCTACATTAACGTCAATGAACCGAAACGTTAGTGACAGTTGTTCAACGTGGCTTACATCAGCAGTACAGTCCATAATAATGGGGAAGTATTTAGCTCATCATCGTCATTTAGCCTATTGCAGTCCACTGCTGGACATAGGCCTGTCCCAACACGCGCCATAACACTCGGTCCTATTCGTATGGTCCATGCTGAGAGGTATAAGCCATACTATACCACGCTGGCTAGACGGGTTGGTATAGGGTTTATTTCGAATTTTCCTTTTCTGGTATTGGTAGTCTTTACCTTTTCCCTTAGTCGCCTTTCACGACACCCACGGGATGAGATGGGGTTGGACAAATGGACAAATGTATTCTAAAGCCGTCGCTACACGGCATAGCATTTAGCTGACTTTACCATATTCACGATATTTAATTTCTTTGAATCTTCACAATTTTTTTGGAAACATGTAGATTCCGTATGTCCAATTTTGACAGAGTAATTGCATTTAGTTTTGGATTTTTCGGATTCGTCGGAACTAGAATTTGAACTTAATAGTGGTTTAGGCTCACTGACGATATCAGTTATTTTGTTGCAGTTTGACTAAATATGCCCAGCTTTTCCACACTTAAAACAAACCACAGACTCTTTACGATTTGTTTATTTTTTATTTTATTTTATTTGGATAGCCAACAAAAGAAAACATTAATACATTCATTACATTATCAAACTATCATTAATAATTTAAATGTCCTTTTAATTATAGGCTATCACATCATGCAAAATACATATAATAATTGTAGTAAATCAAAATTTTTATTAAAAAACAATAATAATAAATTAATAAAACATTACATAATAATCACTAAAATTGACATAACTAATTAATTTTTAACAATTAAACATTTCAAAAATTAACATTTAACAATTAAACATTTCAATACAATAATAACAAAAATACAATTTAACATGACAATATAATTCAAAGTTTTAAAATGTCACAGACTCAAATTAATATTGTATATATTTTATATTATTATAGTTATTTAAAAAAGAAAAAAAGCATTATGTGTATTATTTTAAAAAGGCCAAAATTTTTAACTACATATGTATATTACGAAGTTCTTCTTCGGTTGTCTTAAGTAGAGTTTCAGACTGAACAACACCAAATGTTATAAAAATGACATCCATTGCTTTATAGCGATGCTCAAGATATTCTAACATAGGTCTATGCAACTCATCTGGCAATGTTAATCCAACGTCTTGGGACATTTCTTCTGAGATTTGTTTTCGAAATCTCCTTCTTCCTCTTCTTTCAACGGAAATATCAAAGTCATCACATCTTTCGGTTGCCTAGGAAATAGTTCTTTTCACTATTTGAATACGTTGAGTTTGAAGAAAAATATTTAGGGCTTTGATTTTTATAACAAATTTTTCCCAGCGATAGACCAGATGTTTGGATCTTTTACTTTTGTACCTGATTATCTTCTTCTAGGATTTCACACCAAAAAGAGAGGTGGCATAAAAAACTGAAGTCACACAAAGCTAGTAAGAGTGTGAATGCTGCTTCTCTTGTATCGACGTTTTCTCTATTGCTTCTGGGGTCACACATAACTTCGAGTGTTGATACAAGTTTCTCAAAATTGTTCTTCAGTGACTTGTCTCTACTAATCTTTTGACCGAAACGCCTACACTTTTGATTAGAATTTCTCATCTATGTATGGATGACGAAAAGGACGTGTAAACTCTTCCGAAAAATGTTACACTTGAACTACCACTCCTGAAAGAGTGCACCCCACATAGATTTAGCACAAGGCATAAACAAAGCTTTAAAATTATGTTCCTCAATTGTAAATTGTACACCTCCATGAACTCCTGTCATGGTTGTAGCATTATCATATCCTTAAGCCCGACATATGTAGATGAATGTCCAAGTTATATCTCTTAAACTGCAAGGATATTTTCCGTAAGTTCGACTGCAGTCTTTCCAGCTATAGGGTAGAAACCTAGAATTAATGATTCCTTTACTTTAACTTGATCGCCTTCAATATAAACATGTCTGATTATATAACTCATCCGGTCAACATGTGATACGATTATGATAGATAGATAAAAATAATAAAAACCTTAATCAGCTTATATTAATATAAGCTTATACAATCTTCGATTGTGAAAGCATTAAAGTTTATATGAACTCTTGTTAGAGTTACTAAGAAATTGTCAGAATTATTTTTTATGCTTCTAATGTTTAAATGATACGATCTTAAAATTATAAGTAATTGAAAACAACTCACATAATTCTGGACTTCATTGAATAAATTATTATCTAACATTTGGAATATATTTTTTTTTCCTAAATATGTTGAATTTAGTTGATTTTTGTTGTATTGGGCCCGGACTGCTTCGTAATATCACATATTTTAAGAATGCTTTAAAAATGATATTTTCATTATATACAATGGTAATTAGTCTCGAAATCTTTGATAAGGAAATTAAGAATTTTCGTGATTTCATGAAGTTCAATATATAAATATAAATATAGCTGAATATAAGTTAAAAACATGTAATTTATATAATACCTGCTAAATGTTACTGTGATATTTATATATGATGAGTAAGTAGAATATGTTGTAAATTCATGTATTATGCCTTCTTTTTCAGTATACTCCTTAAAAGCAGTATTTACATATTCTTTCCCATTGTCAGTGTGTAGAATTTTTACACTGTGCATATATTTGTTCTTAATCATGGCATTATAAATTTTAAAGTAATGTAGAACATCAGATTTATTTCTTATAAAATACACATGCCTGTAACTTGTCTTGGCATCTTTGAATCATAGGGCCACATACATCACTGTAAATAAGGTCACCTGGCTGTATTTCACTTCTTGAAGATTTTTGAAAAGATAAACGATGTTGCTTCCCATATGCACATGCTTCACAAGTGTAATTGTCTCCTGTATCTCCTTTTATTTTCAAACCTTCAACCACATTATTTGCATTCATGTTTTTAATATCTTTCAGATTTATATGACCAAGTGTTTCATGCCATTTTCTAATGTCAATACAGTCTTGTATTAAATTACATTTTTCAGGATCAACTCTGATATTTAACTCGTATAAGTTGTTTGTTTTCATTTGTGCAGTCATCGCCACTTCTCTGTTCATATAAATTAGAGCGCTATTTCCTTTCTTAGTTAGTGAGTAACCTTGAAGCATTATAACAACCTTCAGAGAATAGATTTCTCTTCAAACTTGGAACATAGAGTACATCATTTAATATTCCGGAGTACCATTGTCCATTGACAAATCTTTCTATCTATATACTTCCAATTCCACATCCTTCAACCAGCTGTTCATTACCTAATGTCAATGACCTCTGGGTGCATTCCTCTATATGAGTAAAAATGTTCTTCTTATAGGTTATATGAGCTGAAGCACCACTGTCTAAGATCCAAATATCACCATCATTCATTTCGATTCTATTTTCAATATTGAAAGCCATCATATCGGATTTCCTTGTAAATTTTCTTGGAGCTCGACACTCTTTGGAAAAATGTCCACACTTACCACAGTTGTAACATTCAAAGCGATGTTTGGGATTTGTGTTTGGCTTGTGAGCATTACCACGGTGTTCATTTGGTTTAGTTTGCCTTTTTTCCTTTGATTTTGTTACTAATAAGGCTGATTCTTGCTCTTCCTCACAAGATAAACTTTTTTTTTTATGGCCCTAAGGGGCAAGCGAGCAGACGGCCTACCTGATGGTAAATAGTTACCGTCGCCCATGGACATCTGCAACACAAGGGGTGTTGTTGATGCGTTGCCGGCCTTGTTTGAAAAGGAGCCTGAACATTTGCTTTTTGAAAGACCCCATGTTGTAGCTCTCTGGAAAAGCCTCGGGCGGAAGATCATTCCACATCCTGCACGTGCGTGGTAAGAATGAACGCGACGCACGTACAGTCTAACTTGCTTCTTCATCAAGTAAACGGGCAGTTAAGTTCATAATGTTTTGCATTGACGGGTCTAATGATAACCAGGCTTGTCGAAGGGTTCTATACTTTGCAGGTAAAGTACCAAGTATTTTGGTCATAATTGCCGTTTCACTCAGGTTCTCTCCACTTTCTTTCAATTGCTTTGCAAGATTTTCTACTTTGGAAATATGTTGAGCAATTGTGTCATTAGGTGACATTTTATACTGATAAAATCTTTCATGTATGATCATCTTATTCAATTCACTTTTCTGTTCGTAAATAGACTCGAGTTTAAGCATTATTTCTCTGGCGGTTTCACAATTTTCTATTAAGGTTATTTTCTTTAACCCGTATCTTCCCAAGTCCTCAAAACTCATCTGATTGAAGCGAAACTTTCAGAATCATTTGTTAGTAGCCTAATTATCGATAATATGCAACAAAAAAAAAAATTTCGATTTCCGGTATTTCAGTTACAGTACCGATCCAAAAATGGAACAGTAGGAGAATATGCCACTGTATTTTATTGTTGGTATTGTGTGCTTTTTAGGAAGATTGCTGTAAATAATGAAAGATATTTATGAATAATCTTATTTATTTTTAGTATATAATTTTAGTATTTTTAGTATTTTATATAACATTTAGTATAACATTTAGTATTACAATTTTATTTCGTATGAAACGCAGGAGAACACTTTTGGTGTAGGGCGACGTTGCATTTGCCACATTTCATTGTCGTGTTTTTATGACATAAACCACAACGGTTTTGTTTATCACTTTTGATAATATGGTGTGCCTTTCCATCTAACCTAATATCAACTGGAACTCGTTTTATGACTGCTAGAGATGATCTTGGAATAGGCTTCTTTACTGAAGAAGAATTTTCAGGAAAAGTCTGAAGATATGTTGTTACAACATGTCTTGTAAATGACAAATAGTCATGCTGATTGTTTTGTGAAGCTGGCGATAATTTATATAACTGAAAAGCATTATTCATACATACATTTATAGGAAACATAAGTAGCTGCCAGTACCACCTCTTCAGGCGTATAGAAATACGATAGCATCCCACATTTTGATCCAAACGGTCGACACCGCCCATATATTTGTTATAGTTGACGATGCAGCGAGGTTGGTCGACGTCTTTCTTCTGCTTGTCACAGTAACGTTTTACCTTAGCTAAAGGCTCCACACCACATTCGGTTGAGGCAACGGTAACAATATTGTTGTCATTGTAACGTACGAGGGTGATGTTCGTCAGAGTATCTGTACACTGGTCAAAAGACCCTCTGCTCATTTTCTTCATATCTTTCGCTTCTTTCAAGGGTGCCTTTTCTACCCTATTTGCCCTAACCGTTCCCGTCGCATCGTGTCCTAATGTTTTTATTTCATCCAACAAGGGTAAAGATGTAAAATAGTTGTCCATATAAAAGCTGTAAGTACCGGGCGGCAATTTGGATATGAGGTCTAAAACAACAGAAGCACCTACACCAAGTTCTGGGTGGGTATTTCCTGTGCTTGCCCCTTGATAAAGCTCTCCATATATCAAATATCCAAGACGAGTACATATAGACCAATTCTTATAACCGAACCGAATGGGTTTACCATGAATATGTTGCTTCGTCCCATGTTTCCCGAAATATGGAATCATGGATTCATCAATGCTTAGATTCCTGTCACCGGGATAATATTTTACCCATCTCTTATTGAGTAGATTCCAGAGAGGACGAACCTTCGCGAACTTGTCCTGTGGAGCTAAGTTATTATTATCGGCGACGTGAAAGAATCGTAATAGTTCTTCAAATCTGTTCCTAGGCATAGCAGCTGCCACACCTTGAAAATTACAATCAACACTTTGCTCCCAGTACATACGATATCTAGCAACACTGTTGTAACCAGACAGCAAGAGAATCCCTATAAATCGTTTTATTTCCTCAGTTGTAACTTTGAAATTGTGGTAACCTTTTTGAATAGCATTTTTTTCGGTTTCAGAGCGAATCAATTCAAAAACGTCTTCGTCAAAAAAAAGTTCAAAAAAGTGAACAGGAGTATCTAGGTGTTCTAAGAAATGTGGTGGCTCTGATGTTTTCTCTGTCTTCACTGGAATATCTACTTTCCTCCACTTTCGGGTAGCTGGACATTTTTTTTTCTTTGCCGGTGGTTGTACTGATAAGTCGCCGTGTGTATTATTATCTATAGAAACTTCATTTGATACGCTTTCTATAATATCTAAATTAGACTGTGAAGATACAGTAGCCCTAAACTCAGCCTGTGCTAAGAGCTGCTGCCTGGACAGGTGATTTATGTTCGAAGACTCCTCATCTCCACTGTCTTCATCACTTTTGTCGTAATTATCTGGGGGTGTTATGTAAATATCTGCTGACAATACGTCATCGTTGTCTTCAAGATGCGATATTATGTCATTTACCGACAATCTAAAACAAAATGTTCCATATCCATATTATCCTACTGATCCATTATTGGATCGGTACGTATAAAAGTAAAAAATAAATGTAAATAAGCTAAATGTGCATTTCACTGTCTTGCAATATGATAACTCAACTCCTAGCCGATATAAATACGATACAATAATTATAAATTATCTAAAAAAAAACAAGAAATACTTACATTCGGCGATGAGACATTTTTTCACAATTTCCAAAAAATTCAGTGCGTAACAAAACACAAATTTCGCGGCCCACCGAGGATCTGACAAGTGAATATGGCGGCAAGAACTGTCAGTGCTGCCACCATAGACAAAAAAAATGGCTGCGTTCACGAAATTTTAGTAAAAAAAATATTAAACTAACCGATCCAATAATGGATCACTGGGATGATACGGGTTAAGTCCATGTTTGACGTTATTATGAACATTGCCATTCCATCGTTTTTAATCCAAGTAGAACAGTCTTTTTCTGGTTTTGGCTCCGTTATGTCGATACCTTTGGCTTTTAAAGCACACTTTATCTGGAACTTCCATTGTCGAAAATTACTTCCGTCGAATTTTTCCATACTCATTGACCGCGTGTCCATTTTGGAGGTTGGGTTCTTGAACTGAATACTTTTCTTACTACTTTGACGTTTTCCACTGATCTTCAATTTCAAATACTTTCTGGGCCCATAACCTGTTAACTATTTAGGTTTTGTATAGGATTTTTCTTGTAGCAAATGAAATTGAGATTTTCTGATGAACCAAACTGGATACTTTATTCTTCACACGTTAGCAGAGAGCATAGACAATAGACACGAGTATAGACTAAACTAAATATAGATAACATAATTATTTCTTATAAGTGGTCTCCTCAGACAGATTAACAATTTTACCTTATTTCTATATATATATATATGCTAAATAAAATTATAAATCCAACATCTCTAATAGGTCCAAATTTATCTTCTCACTTTTTAGGGACCTAGTATTTTTGTCATAGAATCGAATCGCAATAAAGAGATCCATTTTTTCTTATTGTAGCTCGGAATATTGGATTGTCGAAGATAGGGTCTATACTCGTCAACCAAGAGTTGGGGGAGCAGTCCACGTTTCCGTTTCGTCGTTGGTAAGTTTAATGCTATTTTGACCATGTGGTCTTCCGGTCTTCTTTGAACATGGCCGTACCATTGTAAGCGTTTCTCTCTAACTTTATCTACAATAATAATAATAATAATAATAATAATAAATATTTATTTCAGACATTAACATCCATATCAAAATTTCATACATAAATTGAAATAAAATTAAATAATTTGAAATAAAATTAAACGTATCAATTAAAACAAACAAATAAATACTAAATCTTACTAAATACTAATTCACTGGAAATGCATTCACCCATATTTATGTATGGAGAATATTATCAAGGATTTTCAAAGTAAACTATGTATAATTATTTTCTCTGAAAATAAAAAGTTTTATATTATTTAAACACGCCTTTACAATATTATAACAATTATTATCGTTTAACTATTACACTTACACTTTTATCTCACCTGAAAATACAAAGAAACGACATTAGAATCCACTAACATCACCTCCTCAATTATATCCCTTAGTTTATCTCTCTACACGTTTTAATAATCATAAAGTGCACAAAACTTAAACATAATTCGCCATTAGTGAATAGTGACGCGTGTCTGGCCGACAAGTTACAAACGTGCGAAGCTTGGCAAATTTGAATTTAATGAAATGTCATTTCATAAAATATGTAGTAATCATATTATTTATTTATTTATTTATTTAAAACTTTATTGTCTAACTACAATAACGTAGACACAAAAGGCGGACTTAATGCCTGAAGGCATTCTCTACCAGTCAACCTTTAGGCAAAACAGGAAATCGAGAAGACGGTAGCAATAAAAGTTAAAATATACATATAAATTTATATTGATATATAATTAATATATACATATATATAGATACATATACAGTCTGACAAGTAAGAGCGTGGTCGTGTTAATTGATAAAAAAAGAAAAATAATGAAACTTTTATAATTATATATTCATTATACACATTTCAAACACTGATGCAATTCGCTTAATAATGTCGCACGCTGAGAACGAAAGTGACTCAACTCAAAATGCTAATTTTTGGGAAAGAGCGAAAATGTGTCCGTCGTATTAAACATATTCTGTTCATTTTACAATAACTCTAAAACATGGTAACAAAAGTTATGAATTTCTGTTGAAATTTATTGTTTCACTTAATAGCTTTAGAAACATTATATAGTTTTTGCAAAAAAATATGATTTTCTCGTATAAAATAGTTTAGAAAAAAAATCGAAAAAATAGGTCACTTTAGTATTAGAAGTTTTTTATTTCTACTGACCTTTTTAGGTAAAGGTCTGTTCATTTCTAACTTTGTTTTAAAAAAATGTTTTTCTAAAAATAAGTCAGTTTCATTTTTAAGATTTTGTTTATTTTTTCAAAAAAGCTAAATAAAACAGTGAAGTATGTGTAAATGTCATTTAATAAATCACTCCTTAGACTTAATAGAGATCAGTAATAATAATCACACTAAAAAATAGTATCAAAATCGTGTCATAAAGTAGGAAACCAAACATTTACGTAAGTAATTCTTAAATATTATAACGAAACATAATCAATATCAGTCTTCTATAACACTAATAAAATATTTATCCAAATCAACAATATTCCTATATTAGCACTAACTTTTCAGTTTAACATAGTGGTACTAGTACAATCTTGTACATAGTTATAGTTCGGATGTATTACTTAATCAAATTTTAATTAAACTCTGCTTAACTCAGACAATCCAAATAATGAGAACTTCTGTTTTCACTGGTTTAGATAACGAATTCTTAAATTTAACGAAACGTAACCAAAATAAAAATAGTTATTTAAAGTATTTGAATCACATCAAAATCAGTATTAATAGCATAACTTATCTATCAGTTTACCACAGTAACAGTATTCTGGTTATAATTCAGTTGTACTTAATCAACTATTAAACTTGCCTATTGCACTGATTCAGACTTAGCTTTTTGGTACATCATACTTCTTTAAAGTTTGTTATTTTAATATCTCATAATAGGTAATTGTGAGACACAGTTCTTTTTCTTCGAGGTGTTTATCATAGTTCGATTTGAGCAGTGTTTTAGTACTTTCAGGAGCAAGTTCATACGCAACACACGTTTCACATCTGTCTTTTTTCGGCTGAAAAAAACTTATATTGAAATCTTTATTAAAAGTATTCAAGTATAACCAATAGTCGCACTGTGGCAAACTTTTTTCTTTTTGATCATTGTTAAAATCAGTCCAGAGGTCCCTTATAGTTTTACTGTCGGAAATGTACTCTCTACTTGTAGTCGCTCTTAAATAATGGGATTCTACCCTCGTTATCGACTCTATGTGGTTCTTGATGCTTTGGAGCAGTTCAGAGTCTACCCTTTTTTTGTTGTCATGCTTTCCTCTAAGCTCAGGCTCACACACATTGTGTCGAGTCACCACCGGCGTCTATAATTGCCTGGCATCTCCGAGGCATACTTTCTACTAATTTGACGGCGTATTCTACTGACAACTTCAAAGTTTGTGTACGTCTTCCACGAAGTTTATGTTTAATATATGCCCACACATTTTCAATCGAGTTTGCATCGGGCGATTGTGATGGCCAATCCAATGTAACGATGCCAGATTGAGCCTTCCACTCCGTACAGAGCTTACTGCGGTGTTTAGGATCGTTGTCCTCTTGCAGAATCCAATCTTCATTTCTTTTGATGAACCAACGTTTGGCACATGGAAGTAAAGCCTTTTTGTAGATTTTTAACATTTTCTCGGCGTTAAGATTATCGGTAAAAAGGTACAAAGTGCCGAATCCCTGCTTTGAGAAGTAGCCCCAAAGATGCACCTTTATTCCGTGTTTTACGGTCCGCTGAACAAGCCTATTGGTCGAAGATGACCAGGCTCGCATGAGGATACAAAGTGCCCATATAGAACATTCATCAGTAAAAATTACATTACTAAAATCTGTATCGATATTTTCATGCGCCCAAGCGAGTCGTTTTTTGACATGTTTTTCAGTCAACAAAGGTGTCTGAATTGTGCTGCGCCATTTCAGGTCATGTGTACGGAGATGAGTTCGTATAGTTTCATAGGTAATATCTAAACCTTTTGCCTTTAATTTTGCTTGTTCTCGCCGCAGCGTTAAAGCAGAATTCCGTGAAAACAAATTAATTATTCTTTCTTCATCTTTTTTGTCCACTTTTCCTATCGAGCCACGTTCTGGTAAATCATCGACATTTTTAGCCACTTTATATCGCTGTACCCACTTCTGAACAAATGCCTTCGACTTTCTCATATATTTAGAAGCCGCTGATTGCTTAACACAGATTCTTAACAACATGTTCGTGTAAACGACGCCTGAAAAATGTCCTAGTAGAGGTACCTTTCTAATTTCTTGTGGAAGTTTATTCCACAATCTAATAGCTTGTACAGAGAAGGAGTTAGAGACGAAACCAGAGTGGTGGCTGTGGTGGTTAATTTTTTATATAGCGATCGTTAAGCCTCGACGGTACTTATAACGTTTTCAAGTAAGCTAATATACATACATATGTATGTCATTATAATACTAAAAAAATTCTGACATTTTTCGAGAACTCCTGCGAAGAATACGAGCCCTGGTGTAGAAGAGATAAATCATTGTATGAAGAAGTTTCATCTCTTTGTTCTGCAATATTATTTATAAGAGCATTTCTGATACCCTCCCACGACTCTGGAATGCCATTTGAATTTATAGTTCGGTCGGCGGGCCCTGTAAGAATTCCGTTTAAAAGCGCTAGATTGCTTAATTCGAAACCTGGCTCAGCCCTCATATATTCCCTCATTAACTGGTCACACAAATGAGTAAACCGTGTTAATACATTTGAATTTCCTTCAAACTCGCGAACCTTTGGTTTTAATTACTATCCCATAAGCTTTCGGTACTTTCATTATTTGAACGAAATACACCAGATAGTAGTATAATAGTAGCCCAATGTATGCAAACAGATCAATATCATTCCAATCAATCAAAACACGCTTACCTTCCAAATTTGTATATTTCAATATGGTTTGTATCAAGGGTAGAGGGAAAAATAATTCAAAAATTAATTTTCTTCTGAGGTAATCCTTAAGCAAGAGTGTCGTGTTAAATCTTTTCTCTGGAAAACATAATGAGCTCACTTTGCAGTCAACAAAGAAAGAAGCATTCGATGTAGCTCTCAAATTTGTTACGGTTTCGTCAAACCAGTAGCACGTAGCCTGATGGTTCCGCAAATAATAAATTGTAAAGTGTTGTACACAAAGTTTCGTTTTGAGGTACAGCGTACTGGCATTTAGATATGGGCAGTACATAACTGCTTGCAAGTCAGCAGCTATTGCATAAACTTCTCCTTTAAACGCCGCCACTTTGTTTTATTTATTTATTTGAATGGCACTGTAGCCGATGTATGGATGATGTTAAGAAAAACAAAGTTTCTTAACTACTAATTTTATTTCTTGTAGAAAGTTGATAGGCACAGCACAGAATAGAAATGAAATTGAGAAGAACAAATATGAAGATAAGTTTTGGATAAAAATAGGAACTATAGCTTATTACTAATACGAATAAGGTTCAATATCGTGTAGCAAATTAATAATCAACAGTACATACATTAAACACTTAAAACTAAATATTTAAAACTGACACTTATCTGATGTATGTACCAATATATGTATAGGCGTACACAGCACTGCTGAAGATTACTATCTAGATGTTTAATAATAATACTTATTGATTACAAAAATATAACAAAAAAATAAAGATAACAAAAGAATTTTCAATTACAAAAACATTACGAAAAATAAAGACAGATAACAAAAGAAAAAAAGAATATCACATAACAATCAAAGTAAACTAAATCTCACCAAAAACATGCCTGTTAAAAAACGAACGATTTCAATACTTTTTTTCAAGAAATCGTACCTATTTTTTTCTTTTTTTGCCACGCCCGCGTCCAATGTTAACCTTAGAAGTCATTTTGCGTTTCAGAGCACCTTTTTTGTAGGCAAATTATCTGAAATTTGAGCTCGAGATAAATTGGGCCGCAGAGCCCACTCCCGGTCGGGAACTTTTTTGACCCTACGTTTTTTATACAATAATTTGGGTAAATCAGGTCGGAACAGTTCCCTTAGCCTATTATATTCAACAATAGCGCTTTCTTGCGCCTTGATTTGACTTGGGTTAAAATTAATTAAATGGAATGAAAAGTGATGCTACTCGTAATATACAGCGTGTAATAAAATTCGATATTCGATTAAGCCAACTCACGCTTGACCGATTTCTTAAATTTTTTTATTACATATTTTTATACCCCCCCCCCCCCCTTTCCACCGCTTCGTATTCTCATTGTATTCACTGGTTCATAAATATTTTTATTAAAAATTCGATTTTAGAATTGAGGCAACTCACGCTTGACAGATTTCTTAAATTTCTTAATTTTTTGTTAATCTACATATAACACACAACCTGTGTACCAATTTCATAATGCTAAAACAATGGGAAGTGGCCTAGAGATTTTGATTACCTGTCAGTGAGTCAGTGCCAAAATTAGCTATTTTCACAGGGTCATATTTCAGGATCTACTGAAGCTTTATCTATGAAATTTGGCATACTGCTTTAGTACTAGTATATGATTACGTAGGTACAATTTTATCTCTGTACTTGCAATAGGCACTGAGCTACAGGGGGGTCAAAAGTGGGTCGAAACGGTTCGTGTAAATAGTGCACGGCATGCCCGCGGCCTGTTGCTGGAACTTGGCCGGCGCACTACCGTGCGCTTAGATTTATTCTTATGCTTTTCTTAACGAGCTCGTTTCGTGCTCTTCGTCTGTTGGATTGCCAGCCTTATGAGCACAACAAGTATCACACTTGTCTTTCTGTGGCTTGATGATGGAAATATTTTGTTGAGATGGTAAAATTTAAAAAAACTTTTCCTGTGCTTAATATAGTATAGGGGAAGGTGTTATACATACGTGTGGACATTCGCCGGATTTGAAATGAAAATGATTATGAACTGTGCATATCCCAGTCTCATCCAGATTATATATGTTTTCGGGGGTAAATTGGTGTTTTTCAATTACTTTTTGGAGGTTGTCAAAGAACTTAGAAACATTAGGTTTGTTAAAACTACTTGCTCGCGCCAAATTGGTTGATTCAGGCTTCCGTAGAGACAAATGTGAATGACGTTGACGTTAGTATCTTAGCCAGCCTACGCCAGCCATTTTGTGTTGGTGCCAGCTATTTGAGATATTTTGTTTTTGCTTCATCACCGCAAACTGGTACGCTAGTTCTCTGACTTGCTTAACGTTTAATCCCATATGTAGGTAAGCTACTTTTTCGAAATATTCTTCTAGCCGTTTCTCTAAATCCTCATTGAATACTTTCTTTACGTCATTTCTCAAATATCTACACTGTTACGATCCAGATCCTTGTCCTTATTCATGCGAAGGTATTTAAATATCGTAGATTTTGGTATTTGATATTTTTCTGCAACTTTAAGTAAGGAACATCCATTTCTTGCATCTTTAACTGCTTCAGGTAATGTCTCTGGACACAGCTTACGTCGGGTTTTTTCATGCTTACTACGAGGCACTGAAAAAACAGGAAAAAATTACTTCTAATTATGAATTTAGTAATAAAGTAATAAATTAAATCCAAAGTTTGTACCTGTGGACAGTCCACAGGTACATACTCTTTGATGTCCATAGGTACAAATCTGACATTATAACTTAAAAACATATTACCGCCAAAGACGGAACTATTTTACATTGTTATACCACTGAAAATAGATGTTTAACAATATACACTACATTCTGACCCATGATAATGATATATACTCTGCATATATTCATTTATTTATTTATTTTAAACGGTTCACACAACAGATTACAATTAAATATGCGAATAATTAATGAGTAAACATTATAAATGAGCTGAGTTATAATCCAACAATTATGCGAACACAGATTATATACTAAGTATTTCAGTTATAAAAAAAAAAAACACATCAGCACTCAAAAATACGTAACAAAACACACTTACTATTAATAGAAATAGTGTTACACGGAAAAATATGAACAGGTTACAGGTCAAAATACAATGAAAAATAAAATGAAAATAAATAATATTCACAAAAATATAGAACGAAAATGATATAAATACTTACTTTTTTTTGTAGAAAACCTTTAACAGTCCGTTACCAGAAACAAAATAACAAACACAAAATGGTTACTGGTCAGTGTTGCCATACATCAAAAATACTTTATGGATGCGTTTAATTCATTCCATTCCTGTATACATTTTTTTAAGATATCGGAGGTGTTCACAGGTAGAACCGTCCACAGGTAGGGGAGATGCGGGCAAGATGGGATATCTAAAGTTTAAAGGGCAATAAAACTGAAACCATTGCATTTAAACAATCATATTTATTTCAAAATCTTCCTCTGGTAATCAGTCTTTAATTTTTTTATAATTTTAGGAACAATCATAGCGTAGTTATTATTCTAGAGATTGAGTGTGATTTTTATCGATCTCTAAATATACTATGCAATCATTCTCTTCACTACAGATGTTAGATTTGCTTGAAGATATGTTTAAATTCTTCTCTTCTATTTTTTTTTTTTTAGTTTATTGGAGAAAAAAACAGATCACAGGAGTATAATAAAAAATATAAACAACAATATTTAAGACAAACAATACCTGTGTCCTTAAATATTTCTCACCAAGAAATATAAATAAGTTAAAATGAGAGGACGCTTGGGCACGCATCTCCACTAATAAATACATTTGATAAAAGCGATGTGTAAATAAAATGTGTAAACCTAATCTAGGATGTGAAGGGAGCGATGGCGAATAGAGAATATTTAATGCTTAAAACAAACTAAACTTAATTCTTAATCAATGTTAATGAGAAACAGGACTGCTAGGTGGTTTATTTTTTTCCAATAATATGTTCCGCAATTTGTTATGAAACGCGGCTGAATTGTGACGTAGAATATCAACCGGAGAAATATTTTTCTCTTCCACTAATTCCTTACACTCTTTATCTTTTGTTTCAGTACAACTGGTAGTTTTAACTATTTTATTTTGATTGACAGTCTCTTCTAAAAATACTACATCTCTACTAATTGTTACCTGCTTGGTTTTCTTATCTATAAAGCGATATCCTTTAGTGCATTCACTATAACCAATAAAAGTTAACTTACGTGACTTAGCATCTAATTTGTGACAACTAGCATCTAATTTGTGACAACTATTCTGTTGAACCCGGCAGCACGTGCAGCAGAAGTGCAGCAGAGTGTGCTTTCGGGTTTTCTTATTGACAAGTCTGGGTGTCTTTTCAAAAACCCTTGAAACCAATCTTTGCCGGCTTCTTGTTTTTGAACGTTAAAAGGATGGACTTTATTATTTTTTACTGCTAAATTGTACGCTAATGCTCTTAAGTCTTTGGCTGTAAGTCCGTAAAGTCTAGTCTCCATGTCCAATATATAGCCACAAAGCCTCTTCTTTTTCTGTGAGAACAGGTTGCTTAGGTCCTAATGAAACCTTTACTTTAATACTTTTAGATGGATATAGGGCCAAGTTCTCCCGAGCTTTTTTTACTTTTCTTTCTAGAGTAGTCTGAAGAAATGAAAATGTCTTTGCTGCTAGCATAGCATTCCATTTTCTCTTCTAAAACAGCTTTAACAGCTTTTTCCATGCTCTCTTCCGCCCACTCGCCTCTATTTGTCTTTCTCTTGTATGTTTTCACCATGCTAAAACAAAAAAGTCCACCTATGCATTACACATGCCAAGCCACATGCATATATACAATCACAAATATACATTAACATTAATCGACACGAAAGCTCGAACCGTAATAAAAACTTAGAGCGGTCAAGACGGGGTACACATACCCCATCTTGCCCTCATGGGTCTTGATGTATTTAAAAAATAAAGCAAAATAAACAACACACAAGACAGAAATAAACCAGGTTTTACCTGTTAGCGTAATGTTAGGCGCATGCGGATAAACTCTTATCTCATTTACACTACTATTACTTGTATATTAAACACGTACTAAACGAATTGAGAATGCTCCGTCTTGCCCGTATCTCCCCTACAACATCTTCTCCTAGTGACGTGCCTTAATAACAAAGAACTACAAAAATAAACAAACAAATAATAATAATAGGTGCTGCAAAATATCGCATCTATTACTTTCACGTGTAAACATTTCTCTTATATATAATTATCGTTTATTTTGTAGTGGTTTTCTCATCGAAAAACAGTACACAGTTAGGCCCAGAAAAAATCAAATTAAGTTGTCACCCTCTTATATAATGAAGACATAACAGGAACTCTTTATTTTAAATCAGAAAGCACACTGGTGAACGCCCCTACAAATGTAACGTGTGTCCACAACGATGCATCTCCAGCTCCAACCTGAGAGCACATCAGCAAAGGCACTTGGGGCTCAAAGTTCATGAGGTAAATAAGAATATTCAGTAAACATTTTAATAATTATGATAATTTTAAAGCAATGTTGAGTTAAAAATGTTATAATAAAGGAGCGTCGGAATAAAAACCTATAAATTTTTGTTAAAAAAATGTAAAAATATTGGTCAAGTCACGTCTCTAATTTACAGTTAAATAAAAATAATCAATTTATTGGTTTTAGCACCACTATTTGGAAACGTAAATTCAGTATTCGTAAGTGTGGTACCTCTCAAATTATTAAAAAAAGAAAGATATATCGGTTATTGACCAGATCAACTGGATTTATCGGTTTTTGTATAATACACTGAAAAATATATTGGTTTTTGTAAACACTCGTAGGAATGTGAGAGCCTGAATCAATTCTAGAATACGTGGTTTTCAATAAATCAAAATTTATTTCTAATCACATAATGCTTTAATTAACTGAAATAAGCATTTATATGAAAGGCAAATGTTAAACTATTGTGGCTATTTCTGGTTCCAGACAATCGCAATTAACGTCATAATCATGGATGTCAGGAACATTTGCTTCGGTATCATCTACTACTGAACCTGTAGTGACATTTTCTCTCAATATCTTTTTGTACAACCAAAAAGTTTCATCATTTTCCCACTCTTCTCCAAATTGTTCTACCATGAGAGACTTTACGTCTGCTTTCTTCTGAGTACTTATACATTTAGTTACAGTAAGTAGTGCTATTGACTGAGGATGTATTTTTCTTGATTTTAATACGCTAAACGGTATTTTTTCCTGACCAGACTCATTAACGAAATTTCGGAAGGTTCTCACCTCATAAAGAGTTTTAGCTTGTCTTGTTGTTCCTCTTCCCTGAATAACAATATTTTTTCAAATGAACTCATTTGAAGTCCCTTATTCAAAAGATTTTTATTTTGTCCAACGCACCTGTCTGCTACTAGACGTTAGTGAGTTGTATCCGTCAAATCACATTTGTTTAATCTATCATAAACAGCGGAAGCTATCTCATTTGAACCTTTTGCGTATTCATCTTTCGTCCATAAATATGAAAACGTTGTGTCTTTATTTAAGGGGTCTTTGGATCCCCCTTGAACAATTGTAAAATTGTACAAGTATAGCTGCCTGCTGTATTAACAGCTTTGATCAGGCACTTTTGGTAATACTAGGTTTTTTTGGCAAAAAAAAATAATCTACGCCAAGCCCGCCTCAGGGTCCGAGTCCTTCCTCTTCCTCGGGTTAGCCACGGAATCCAAGCCACTCGAGCCAGCAGCTGCCTTGCCTCTGGTATGCCGATAGATCGGAGAGACTCTTCGCGGAGCCTCCCCTCTCCTGTCCGACAACTTGGAGGTTTCCGACATAGTCCAGTCCAGGGCCTTGCCCAAGTCTGATTCTGTTGGGGAAAGAATGTTTTTCCCCCAACCTCTTAAACAACACAAAAAACACCTCGTATACCCTCGACAGTAATACGCTCCAACACATTTCATACTGCTTGTCTTTGTGCTGCATACTTATTGTATTTGTGGTCACCGCCCCCGTTTTTCGATGGGAATTTGACCATTCTCAAAGTAGTTTCTCATTACAAACTGGACACGTTATTTTGTGATTCCAAGGCTTTTGGCAAACTGGTATGGATCGTTTACGTATTTTTGTACAGATTGAATACTTTATAGCAATGTCTCTGCCTTTTCTTACGTTTTTGGTCGCCCGTTTCCTGGTAGTTTTATATACCGAGCAACATTTTAATTAGTGCAACTGATAAAACTTGCACTCATAATTATATAAAAATATACTTAACTATAAAAGAATAATCCCTATTCGCAATCTAGATATCTATACAACATAGGTAGGTAGGCAAATTATAGTATCATGAAAATTAATAATATTACGGATCAATTTAATTGCCTTTTTTATGTCGTTACAATAAAATAATATTTATTTTAAAACAGTAAAAACCATTTTGATCGAATTTGCATAAACGGAACACATTATACAATCCCTTCTCGATAATAAGCTTTTTGTAACAAAATTTAGTCCTTTTCACACATATTTATTGATTTTTACACTAAAAAGGTGTTCAAACAATGCAAGACTATGATATATTATTATTAACGGAATAATTTGTACTTTGTTAATTTTGTTACAGTGTACAATCTGCAATAAAAAGTTTGGGTATAAAATAAGCTTAAAAGAGCACATGTCGACGCACGCTCCGTCGAGTTTTTCTTGTGATCAGTGCAATTCAACTTACTCAAGATTAAGAGGATTGAGGCGACATCTGCTGACGAAACATGGAACCAGAAAAGAGGGAATATGATAGTACCCTGCTATTCAGTGGTTTATAGTTCTATGAATTTGTATGTTTTTAATGTGATATTTAATATAATTAATGATTGGATGGTTTGTGTTATTATTATAACCTTATACTTCAATAGTGTTAGCATTTAAATATATTTAATCTGTTAAATAGGACTAAAAGGTAGATTTTGACTTACAGTACAGCTGGTTAAACTTGTCTAGTTATAAATATATATATAATTCATAATTGTGAATTAGGCTTGTTATTGTGTATTTTTTGGTAATTTAAAAGGAAATATGAAAATAATAAAATGCCTCTTTGTTCTTTGTATCAGTAGGTATATAAAATAGAAAAAAATGTTTTTAAGAGACATATAATACAGGAAACTTAAAAGATACATTGGAACACATTATACTATCAAAATCGAAATAAAGTGGAATTTTTTCCCACATATGCTTTCACTTGGCCCACAATTTGTGCAAATAAGTTAAATAAGTTGTTCACAGTGATAAGGTAGAATACCAAGCAGAGCTTTTGATGCAAAGTAATTTTTATTTTGCTTTATTAAGGCACGAACAGTTCACAATACACTTATAATATATGTAGGAGGGCGTTATAAGAACAGGAGGGCCTTCATGGGAACTCATACTTTGAAAGGGATAAAGTACAGTCTATTCAATACGACACCAACTCAATCGAAACACTAGATATCACTATCACTTCGATACACAGCGATTCGTCACGAGCGCGGTGCGCGGGCGTCATCTCGCACGATACTTCATAATAAAGATGGCCGCCCTCGCTACCATCACAATGACGCTTCACTAGGCTAACCTCAGACAGCTAAAAGTCAACCTGACGTATGATTTTTGACGGATGCGCCGTCACGGCCGGACTGACATTCGACCGTCCTCGGGCGGTTCTCGGATCAATGAACTACAGTTGTGTCTATTCCGTTCGGCATCCTGACAAACGACTAGTTACAATCATCAAAATGTGCTATGGTACTTAAGACTTAAGGCGAGCATCTCGTAGCAATTAAGCCAGACGACAACATTCATCTCACCACAATGTTCAAAGCATCCAGAACAAGTCAACCAACTTAAAGGGCTCTGACCCGGACGACTACATTCGTCTTGCCACAATGTTCAAAGCATCCAGAACAAGTCAACCAACTTAAAGGGCTCTGACCCGGACGACTACATTCGTCTTGCCACAATGTTCAAAGCATCCAGAACAAGTCAGCCAACTTAAAGGGCTCTGACTCGGACGACTACGTTCGTCTTACCAGAACAAGTCAGCCAACTTAAATGGCTCTAACTCGGACGACTACATTCGTCTTACCAGAACAAGTCAGCCAACTTAAATGGCTCCTGACTCGGACGACTACGTTCGTCTTACCAGAACAAGTCAGCCAACTTAAATGGCTCCTGACTCGGACGACTACGTTCGTCTTACCAGAACAAGTCAGCCAACTTAAATGGCTCCTGACTCGGACGACTACGTTCGTCTTACCAGAACAAGTCAGCCAACTTAAATGGCTCCTGACTCGGACGACTACGTTCGTCTTACCAGAACAAGTCAGCCAACTTAAATGGCTCCTGACTCGGACGACTACATTCGTCTTACCAGAACAAGTCAGCCAACTTAAATGGCTCCTGACTCGGACGACTACATTCGTCTTACCAGAACAAGTCAGCCAACTTAAATGGCTCCTGACTCGGACGACTACATTCGTCTTACCAGAACAAGTCAGCCAACTTAAATGGCTCCTGACTCGGACGACTACATTCGTCTTACCAGAACAAGTCAGCCAACTTAAATGGCTCCTGACTCGGACGACAATATTCGTCTTACCAGAACAAGTCAGCCAACTTAAATGGCTCTGACTCGGACGACTTCATTCGTCTTACCAGAACAAGTCAGCCAACTTAAATGGCTCTGACTCGGACGACAATATTCGTCTTACCAGAACAAGTCAGCCAACTTAAATGGCTCTGACTCGGACGACAATATTCGTCTCACCAGAACAAGTCAGCCAACTTAAATGGCTCTGACCTGGACGACAATATTCGTCTGACCACAATCTGCAGAGCATCCAGAACAACTCAGCCAAACGAATGAACGATGATCGAGACTCCAATGAGCTAGCCCCATCATCTCCACTACTTATACTCATGTGAGTGAACGATGACCCGGACATAGACTCCACAGAGCTAGCCCGTCCATCTTCACAACCTGATCAAGCGTCGACCGGACGTGGACTCCATCGAGCCAGCCCCTGCACGCTTTGATCCATCACTACTAGAAACATCGGCCGCATCAGCCAGTTCCATCGCCACCTCAAACACACCAACTCAAACTTACACAACTCATTTATGGTTTATCAATGTTGGAGGCCATCAGAGCTACTCAGCTACTCACTTTCATCATCTGACATAGCTTCGTTTCCATTCTCTCCACTCCATGACCCGCCGTCTCGGCCTCCTCATTACTTAGTTCAGTGGATATGTCAACTAACCCTTCAAAGCCTCTGGGTACTGCGCCCAAGTTTTCATGAGAGTATTTTAAAGTGCAATTAGATTCATCGGTATGTTTCAGTTCGTACCTATCGTTGTCTAGAATTTTAGTTATGATAAAAGGTCCCCTAAACTTTCTTTGCAGTTTAGTTTGGTAACATTCGCTACACTTAACAAAAACGTAATCTCCCCGAGAAAAAAAAAAAAAGGTTTTACTTGGGCTTTGCCTTTACTAAATTTAACTATTTCCTTTTGATCTGCGTTTTCAGTGTTGAGGGAAGTTTTATTCCGGATATTGTCTAAATCTAATCTCGGCTCGTTTGAATTTTGGGCTATTAATGATATCCCTAAAGATTGCGCGCGAATGCCAAACATTAGTTCTGTTGGAGTATATCCTGTAACACTACGGCTTGTGTTATTAAGTGCTAGATGACTCTCCCAGATCAGAGTAATTTAGTAAGATGGGGTAAAGGTACCGAAAACACTTGCTATATCTGCGGAAAGGCAGTTGGAACTGCTAAGCATTTGCTAGTGAGATGTAAGGTTCTCCTGGACAGCGGTCAATTCTCGCGTCGTCACTATAGGGTTTTAGAGATCATACTTGAAGCGGTTAGTCTTTCGGTAGCCAGAGCGCAAAGGGAAATAACCACAAACGAGCGATCAATAGGTTTTGTGAGAGAGAGCACCAGGGCTATAAAATCAAACGTCAAGCCTTACTCTATCCTTAAAGCGGCTTCGGATTGGACTATCATGATGGATACGTATGAGAAACAACACAAAATCCCCGAGGATATTTGTGCGTCAGCCTCCAGACCAGACATATTTCTATATTCGCGTATTTTAAAGCGCGTTGTGATGATAGAGCCTACGGTGCCTTGGGAAACCAACATCCCCAAAGACCATGCCATCAAGGTCATTAAGTATTACGAGCTCACTAACGAACTAACTCGAAATAGGTTCGTCCGCGGTAGAGGTGGGAGCGAGAGGCATAACAGCCAAATCTCTCTACAACCTACTAAAAGACTTGGGCCCGTCCAGAACCAACATTAATTCATTCTCGGAACGTACGTCGAAAGCAGCCCTAGCAGGTTCCTTCCAAATTTGGCCAGGTAGGGAGAGGAACTTGGACAGTGGGGGTGAGCGTACAACGCGCGTTAGTTAAGGGGCCCCTTAAACCCACACCTGGGTCGCAAGTCCCAGGCACTGCTGAAGCTCCCCTCCCTGCAACGCGATGGACCCGGCACCCGCACGGTGAATCCATTGAATGCTAAGCGGTTTCGTCCCTTGTACCTCAGGAAGTTTGTCACGCCACGTTTTATGGGTATCGTTTTCTATAATAGTTAGCAGACATTTTAAAATCTGCATGACCCTTTCTACCTGACCGTTGGCTTTATTTGCCCCTGTTGTTATAAAGTAAAGTTCTATACGAGGTGTTTTACTCAATTCTCTAAAGTCCGCGCTTACAAAGCCCCTTCCCCGATATAACAATTCGCTTGAGAACACCGAAAAGAGAAACAGCTTTTCTCAACGCTTTAATAGTACAACTGGCATCGAGGGATATAGTATGCTCTTAAAGGACATACTTGATAACATAATCAATCATTACTGACGCGTATTTCTTTTCTGTCGCTTTTGCCACTTAATGTCCCAGTCATATCTATGTGAATAGTATGCCAATAAAATGTATGCAAATCCGTAGGAGAATTTACATGGCCAAAATAGCAATAACCCCACTGAATAAAATTTGGAGAGATAGGAAAATTATTAATGGAACAAAAATGCATCTGATACGAACGCTTGCCTTCTCTATATTTCTATCTATCTAGCTATCCGATTCTGTATAGTGCAAAGACGTGGACTATGAAAGTCGTTGACAGGCAAAGAATTGATGCCTTAGGAATGTGGTGATGACGAAGTATGTTACGCATACCTCAAAATATGGTCAGCGCTTATCTAATATCTATTTGCAGCACATACTGGCGTTGATTGGTCAGTTCCCTGACAGAACTACGGACAGCTTTAAACGTCCGCTAGTGATTGAAAAAGTGGACGGTAACCGAACTAGAGGACTAAATCCCAAAAGGTGACTGGACCAAATCCCAGAACACCTAAAAATACCTGCCTGCGTTGCACTCCATCAAGAAACTAAACGTGTCTATCTCAGTATGGATATGGTTGATTTAAGTCCATACAAGGGACTGATGGACGATAGGTTACCAACGACTAACTTTGTTTCGCTCAATTTTTTTTCGATATAGCATATTGTTTCTAACATCGTAGATGTGACTAATTGAATCGGGAAACTTATTATTTAAGAGCTGAGCAACAATATCTTGAACATATGCATCACGTTTTTGTTCTACCGCTAACCACCCTTGATTTACCTCTACAAACTGCACAGACTTATTAACTACTTGAGCCTTGCTTTTGTCGCTCTTGGAAGTGCCCTGCTCAGGGTCATCTATGTACTCTCGGTGTTAATTTTTTTTTTTTTTTTTT